TTGGATCTGTCACAGTCATTGACTGTGGTGCTGTTGTGAGTTAACTGCTTGAAACTTTCCATTCTGCTCTATTTCCCCTCCAGCTGCCTTTCCTTTCTTATGTCCTAATTTTACATATAAGGCTAAATATTGTATTCTGAAAATGGACCACTGGACTTTCTCACACCTACCATGCATGAGGCCCTGAGTTCAATCCCCAGCACACACACACACACACACACACACACACACACAGCCACTCATCATTGCAGAAAACAACCCCTTGATAATCTCTTCATTGAGTACCTATACCTATTCTTTGCCTTATCTGTGCTTGGCATTAAAGATGCAGATATCATCATCAGTAGAAGAAGCAGGATGAAAAATATCAGTTGAGACAAGGAAATGAAATAAACAAAATGAAAACCAGAAAAGAGTAGGGAAGGAACCCAATTTATCTGTGATTTCCTTTTTGGACAAAGTTGATAGTAGGGAAAGGATATTCCCTGCTGGCCACGCAGGCTGTCAGCCACCCAGCATTTGAGAAGCTTGGAGCTTACTGTCCAGGCTGAGAGGAGTGGTGAGTTGGTGAGCTGAGTGGGAAGTGGGAAGGGGGACTGACCAAGAGGTATTGTATACAAGCAAATGAGGCATAGCTGTGCCTTTAAGGAGCTTACAGTTTGGGGAGAGGGGAATGAAAACAAGGCTTTGAAGTGTACAGTGTAATAATTATAGTGTGAAGTACAATGTGTTAAGGCAACTATGTATCTTCAGATTTTTCTGTTCTAAAAAGTAGATGCTACAGGTAGTCAGACTTTAGTGCAGTATGAGAAGGCATTTTTGGACAGAGTGGTCTCACAGTGGAGTAGGGGATCTTAGGAAAGGAAGGCCTTTACTGTTAGTAAAGACGTAAGTTTGGGATAAATGATTTCATTGAGGTTATTGTAATGGAAGCACTAATTCCTCCTAATACAAGATTGGGCTAAAGGGATTTTAAGGTGCCTTCTAACCACAGCAGTCTGTGATCCTAAAAGTCCCTTCCCTTTTCTGGGCCTATGAACGTCACCCATAAAATGAAGAAGAGTCAACCAAAATAAAACCCCCTACAGTGCTGCCATTCTATGTGAATTAAAAATAATTCTACTTGGAAACATTTAAGGAAGATCCTATAATTGCCCCTGAAGTAAATAGCATATGAGGTGACAGAACAGTGATTACCCACGCTGCAGTCTCTCACTTGAAGCTGAGTATAGATTCCATCCATAAGATTGATCACTTAGCTTTCCAGCTTAGACCCTGACTTTCTTCTGCAGAGTGACATACCTCCTGATTGCTAATTAAATGACAAGTTGGTTACTTCAGTTCCAAAATCAGAAATGATCAAAGATGAATTCAGAAGTGCATTTTCTTTGGAGTTGGAAAAGATTTAGGGAACAGCATATTAACAAAGATATATTATTAAAGCTCCAATATTTACAAATCCCAAAGAAGCTTTTAGGGATTTAGGGATTTAATCTTTGACTTTTAAAACCAGCTTTTCATTGTCAGTCAAAATACCAAAGAGCATTTAAAAACTGCAGGGAGTAAGTAGTGAGACAGGCACTTTTACACTGCTAGTGTAAGTTCAAATTGATAGTTTTTCTAGAAAGCAGTGCAGCAAAGTATTTGAAGACTTAGCCTGTCACTTCTCATCAGCTGCACTGCCGCTGTCCTGGTCTGAGCCCCACCTTCTAGTGCCAGGAGTTTGCAGTAGCTCCCTGCTGGTCTCCATGCTTCTCTGTCCTTGCCCCCTTGTACTCTCTTTTCAGCACAACCATCAGAGTGACCCTTTTCACATAAGTCAGATCATGTTATTCTATTCAAAACCCTGTGACAGTTAGAATAAAAGTTGTAGTCCTTATAGTAGCCTGTAAGGCCATACATGAACTGAATAGCTCTTTATCTTTCTTACTCCCTCTGCTACTACTACTGTATCCCTTATTTGTTCCTCTGCTGTGTCCCTTATGCTCCCCAACTTCAGCCCTTTGCATTGATTGTTTTCTTTGTCTGGAATGCTTTGGCTTTTTGTTTGATTAACCATATCATTTCCCTCAAATTTGTGGAAATCTTACCTTCTCAGTGTCTTACCCTGATTATCCTATTTAATATTGCAGTGCTCTCAACCTAGACAGTGGCAATTCTGGTGTTTTTTCATCCTCCCTTTTTTTTTCTCCCATAGCAGTTGCTAATGAAGTGACACTTTGATTATCTAAATTCGAAAATCAGAAAATGATTGAAGATGAATTCAGAAATGAATTCTCTTTGGAGTTGGAAAGGGTTTAAGGACCAGCATATTAACAAAGATACATTATTAAAACACCAGTACTTAGAAATCCCCCAAATTTTGTTTATATTTCCTATTTATCCATTGCCTTCTTTCCCCTGCTTAGACTATAAGTTCCACAAGGGCAGAGGTCCCTAAACCAGTGTCTGGTACAGAATTGATAATCAAATATTTGTTCAATGGATGAATTATAAAAATAGCCTTAGGAATCTCACTTCTAGTACTAATATTTTTCTAAGCTTAAGATTAGCTTTAATTTATTATTATTATTTTAATTGTACAAATTTAGGGATACAATGTGATAATTTAAACACATACCAGTATGCAAAGATCATATCAGATTAGTTAACATTTACATTTCATTAAGCATTTAAAATTCTTTTTTAATTAACACATAATAATTGTACATATTTATGAGGTATATGTGATATTTTAGTACATCTATACAATATGTACTGAACAAATGTGATAACTAATATTTCCATCTTATCATTACTTGGATTTGGAGACTTATGAAGAGATTACTTGTTTTGCGGTATGAGATGGAAGTCAGAGCTTCTCTAATTCTAGGTAAGGGCTCTTAGCACTGAGCCCTACCTATGAAGAGATTTGGGTTTCTTGTATGGGAGGGTACTAGGGATTTAACCTAAGGGCTGATTTAACCTAAACACTGAGTTGCATCCCCAGCCCTTTTTATTTTTTATTTAGAAAACAGGTTTCACTGAGTTACTTAGGGCCTCACTGAGCTGCTGAGATGGGCTTTGAACTCTCCATCCTCTTGCCTTAGTTCCTGAGCCTCTGGGATTATAGGCGTGCACCACTGTGCCTGGCTTCTATGAAGAGATTTCATAAGATGATTCTTGGAAACTCTCTGTAGTGGCTACAATATTCATTTAATATGTCTGTTGATAGATAAGGACATTTAATTTGCTTCTAGACCTAATTTTTAAAGAAATAGAGTTGCAGCCAAAGGTTTATTTAGTTTACTTGATGTTGTTAGCTATAATAAAAATGAAAATTTTCAAACAACCTAAACATCTAAAAGCAGGGTAATGGTTAAGTGATTTGATATATCTGTGTAATGGAATAGTATAAAGATATTAAAAATAAAGTTTTTGAATAATATGTGATTATGTGGGAAATGTTTATGTTTAAATGAAATAGTTATAAAACTATATATACCTCTACCTCATACCATACACAAAAATTAACTCAAAAGCCCCCAAATTATAAAACTCTTAGAAGAAAACCAACATCTTCATGGCCTTGGTTTTAGCAATAGATTCTTGGATATGATACAAAAGCACAAGTAGCAAAAAAAGAAGTAGATAATTGGACTTTAAAAAATTGCATTGAAAGGATTATCAAGTGAAAACCCACAGAGTTGGAGAAAATATTTGCAAATTATTTATTTGGTAATGGCTCAATATTCAGAATATATAAAGAACTCCTACATTGTGTGACAGCAAAAAGATGACCCAGTTACAAAAATGGGCAAATGATTTGGGTAGACATTTCTCCAGAGAAGATATACAAGCCAGGCCCAGTGGCATACACCTGTAATCCCAGCAGCTCAGGAAGCTGAGGCAGGAGGATCAGAAGCTCAGTTCAGCCTCAGCAATTTAGTGAGACCCTGTCTCAAAATAAAAAGGGCTGGGAATGTGGCTCAGTGGTTGAGGACCCCTGGGTTCAATCCCTGGTTAAAAAAAAGGAAGATGTATACATGGCCAACAAGCACATAAAAAGGTGTTCAACATCATTAATTATTAGGGAAATATAAATGAAAATTATGAGATACCACTTCACACTAACTGTAAAAGCTATAATTAAAAAAAAAAAAGCATTGGTGAGGATGGGGAGAAATTGTAGAGATAGGAAGTGAATTAGAGATTACCAGGGTAGGGGTTGTGGGGAGTGGGAAATTATTATTAACAGACACAGAGGTTTTATGTGGAATGATACTGATGATAGTTGCACAACATTGTGAATGTAATTAATGTCACTGAATTGTACATGTAAATGGTTAAAATTCCAAATTTTATATTTACTTTGCCACAATGGAAGTTTTTTTAAAAAAAATAAAAAACAGAACTGTATATGATATGCTATGATGATCTGGCATTGGTGTACATGATCTTGAGTGCTGACTGAGCATTTCTTCCCAACTACTCATTTAAGTGATATTGGTAGCTTGAAATTGGCCACAGTGAGATAATTTACATCATGGCAATTGGCGTATGCTAGAAAAGCACCCCACTCCTAACGTCTTCAAGCCAATTGTTAAATACTTGCCAGTACACCACTGAATATATGTGTATAAAATCCATAGAAAGCTATCTAGAAAAAAATAGATGCCCAACTGTTAATGTGGTTACCTCTTAGAGCAGTTTTGTGGCAGAAAGTGAAAGTAAGCATACACGTTTTATCATAAGCGCTTTTAATTTTTTTCTACTTTTTTTACAGTGAAAATGCAGGCATATTTTATGTATTGCTTTTTAAAAGTGGGCCCAAAAATCTGCATTTATTGGAGTTATGGTATTAATGACTTTTCTCTTGAGAGTCTGAAAGCTCTGTGAAATGGCCTGTGAAGAAAATGAAAGCTAAGCCTGTAACTTGAATTTGTTTCCTTAGAAGTCTTCTTTGTTGTTAGTGTTGTTGTTTTCCTTGCCTAAGTAAGACTTTTCTTGTCTTTATGTAGGTTACCCTACAGCCTACCCGGCAGCGGCCCCTGCCTACAATCCCAGCCTGTACCCAACCAATAGCCCCAGTTATGCTCCAGGTAAACAGAGTGGGGGCATCAGTGGTGAATGGGGTGGGAGGTGTGGGAAAACAAACCCACTTGCTGGCCTTTCCCTGTCCTTAATTGCTCTGGGCTCAGCCTATCCTGGTTTGAATCTGTGGGAGTCCATACCTTCTGGGAACTGAGGCAGATCAGCCTCAGGGTGGGGGTTGGAAGTAAAATCTTCCTCATTCTCCTTGGGTCTTAAGCTTGGCTTATTTCTCCTGTATTAGAATGTATGAGACATGCATCCTTCTTACAGAACCCTTTCTTCTCTCCCAAGCAAGATCCAAATCCATTCTTTGCTCAGTTTCCCCTGAGGCTGTCGCTGGGAAACACATGAACATGTACACACACACACACACACACACACGCACACAGCCAAATACCGGGGTATAGATTTGGAAGAGAGTAAGAGACTTGCCATCAGAGGGTAAAAAAGTGGTTTTCAAGCTTAGAAAAGCTACTTGTTTTTCAAAAACAATAAATGTCCAATACTTCTTGGATAGAGGTTAAAGTGGATATGAAAATATTAAAAGGGTTTATTCTAATTTGGGCAGATGCATTGCAGAGATCTTACACTGATCGTAACCCCTTGCTCAGCCAATACTTAAACACTCAAGAGCAGGAAAATTGGGCATGGTGTCCTAACTACTCAGGCGGCTGAGGTAGGAGGATTGCAAGTTTGAGGCCAGCCTAGACAATTATCAAGACCCTTTCTCAAAATAAAAAATAAAAGGACTGGGGGTGTGGCTCAGTGGTAGAGCACTTGCCTAGCATGCATGAAGCCCTTTAGATTGCTAGAACTGGGGTAAGAAAAAGAGCAGGAGAATGTATAGGTTCTGTGGTTAGAAAATCCTGGGTTAAAATCCAGATTACCCAACTCATTCATTAAAGCCTTGGGCAGTTACCTCACCTCTCTGAGATTCAAATGTAACTACTTACCTCAGGGTTTAAGTTGTTTAATGGAAACTCTTCTTCATTTATTCAGCAAGTATTTATTCGTTGACTGTCCTCCATACTGGGATAGAAAAATTAAAACATGATATCTTTCCCTGAAGTAGCTTATAGTCCATTTTGGAGCCTAACATGTAGACAAATTCATTGCAGTACAATACAGTAAATATTATAAAAGGAATACATATTAAAAGAGAAGAGGGAACCACAGTCTACCTGGGGGTAAGAGTATAGAAGAATAGAGACTTGAGGGAGAAATAGAAAGTCTCCCCCACTCCCAGCTGCTGGGGATTGGACACAGAGCCTCATGCATTCTAGGAAAGTACTATACCACTGAGCCACATCCCCAGCCCTAGGAGGAGTACTTTTAATCACACAAAGGAGGACTGGGCAGTCCAGGCAGAGCAAGCTTGGTAAAGACATGGAAATGTGGAAACATGACACTATTAGAGACTTAGAAGTGAATAGGAATAGTTGAAGCATGGGCCAGGGTGGGAGGTGGTGATGAATCTTAACTAAAGATGTGAAAAGGTGATTTGGAAAGGCCTTGAATATCCTAACATCCCATTTTCTTGTTTAGTGATATTATTATGGAATTTAAAAGCTTGAAAAGATTCCAGAGGTTTCTCCAGTTAAGCCTCTTCTCTTGACCACAGAAACCCAGAAACAGTGTTTAGTTCCACATTATCCAATGAATCAGCAACAACTTATGAACTAGAACCCTTGGCAGATTTCCTGTCTCTCAGTCCCATGCTTTTTTGTACTAAACCAGTATTCTTTCTACTGTCATTCCCCTTTGTGTGTATGTGTATATGGTATTAGGAATTGAACCAGGACCTCATACAAGCTCTGTAGCGCTGAGCTGCATCCCCAGTCCCCTCATTCCCATTCTTCTGGGATATTTAAAGCAGAAATGAATGTGGGCTATATTTGAAGATCTCTGTTTGAGCCCTGGAATCATATCCTTACCATACCCCCCACCTCATCTCTCTCTCTCACACACAGACACACATCATGAAGTTATCAGATAGGACCCTCTTTTTTTTTCTGCAAACAAGAGCTATTTTATGCATATGACTAATGATAACCCCTAAAGTGCTTACATAAATGTGACATTACACAGATATTCATTTTGGCCCTATTATGCCTGAGGCAGTCAGGAAGACACTGTAGGTAATTCAAACTTGAAGAAGCTGCTGTCACTGCCTTAAGAGCTTATAAGGGAAGTGGTGATACATGGACCAAAATCTACATCTCAGCATTGATTTTCTGTTTTCTTTTAATCAATAAAATATATTTCCCAAAAAATCTATAATAGGAGGCAGAGCAACAATAAAAGCTGCAGAAATTCTCTCTGAAAAAAATAATGAAATTTGGTAAGTTTTATCTTTAAAAACTATGGTAGCTTTGGTTATTAAATCTATCACAATAGGTAAGTGATTTAAATCTTCATGAGATCTGTGAGTCGGCTTTGTAAACTAGTCTAAAGCAAAGTGAAACAAGTTGTAGCAGAAGCTGAGGTAGGAATGAGGAATATTGATTGTCTTGATAGTCAGGAGGCCACCAATGACCTCACTGGCAGCAGTCAGGTAGGTGGTGAGACTGGAAACCAGACTACGGTGAACCAGGGAGGAGAGAAGTAGATTAAGCAGGTGGAGGCCATGCTTACGAGAAGCTTGGCTACCAGGGAAAGCCAAATAAAATGGCATTGACTATAAAGGGTGCTTGGGGTTGAGAAAGTTTTGGGAGTATAGGCATGATTAAGCACTGATTGGAGGAGCAAGTGGAGGGGACAAGTCAGATATGCGGGAGAAGCAGTGCCACACAGCTAGGCCTGCACAGAGGCTGCATTGGGGGTGGGAAATCGAGAATTCAGTTCTCTTCCTAGTTTGGGGGAATTGAGTGGCAGGGGGAAGTGGGATACCTCACACAGGAGGGCAGTTCTTCCTTTCAGATCATAGGAAAAGTCACAGGGGATGTGTTTAGAATCAATTGCCCAGTGGAAAGTGGAGACTTCTGATTTAATGGCCTTGATTTGCTGACACAGAGGTGATGAGGGATAGAGGAAAAATAAATGTCAAAGTGTAAGAGCCTCACATGAAACAGTGGGAATGGAAACTACTAAACGATAGCACAGAGCAGGGTAACACTAGAGGCTGAGTGAGGTGGAGGCAAGGAATTGGTCCAGGCTCTAATTCCCAGCAGTGGGCTCTTTTCAGCACTTCTGGTGAAAGATTATAAGATTGTTTGGCAAGAAAGAGGAAAGACAAGGAATAAATAGCTATTATTTATTGAAGGGTTCCTTTGTGTCAGAGACTATTTTAAGCTCTTTACAGATGTTAACTTGTTTTATAACACATCAGAACTTTGAGGTGAGTACTATTGTTACTCCCATTTTCTAAATGGAAAAACTAAAACTGAGAGAAGTTGAGTAACTAGCTCAAAGTTCCACAGCCCAGTATCATGTCACATGGCTACGTGAACTCACTCTAAACCACTACTTTATTGTTGAGGCAGTTGGCAGAGAGAAATTGAAGTGTTAAACTGGAATAACCAGGGTAGAGAGGAAAGGTGGTGCAGAAAGGAGGAAATTGAGACTGTCAAAGAAAAAAATGAACTAAAACAAACATGGAGAGATTGGAAAACTGCTGGTAAAAAATAAAATAAAATAATAAAATCATCACCTAACATGATTTTCCCATTTTATGGCTTTTTGTTTGTTTGGTGTTTAGTACTGGGAATTGAACCCAGGAGTGCTTAACCACTGAACCACATCCCAGCCCCTTTTATATTTTATTTAGAGACAGGGTCTTGCTAAGTTACTGAGGCTGGCTTTGAACTCATGATCCTCCTGTGCACCACCATGCCCAGTCCAATTTTGTGTTTTAAAAGTCAACATATTTTCAGGAGCTAATGGAGGTAACCTAGACCATTTGCTCAGAAACCCACAAAGTACACAAGAAAGGGTAATGCTACTGCATTGTATTAGAAAGCCGCATCCTGAAAGTTGGAAAACCTGGACTGTACCACTAACTCTTTTCTGATTTTGGTGTGACCTTGGGGAGACACCTTTGCCTTCTGAATTTTACACACACACACACACACTCTCTCTCTCTCTCTCTCACAAACTGGGTCTGCTTCATATTGTGGGATGCTGGCCTCTGTATTCATAGGTTTCCTGATTGCAGTGGGGAAGTTCTTGAAAAGGAGGAGCTGGCTCAAGGTCAGAGAGGACAGTGTAGGTTACTCTCAGCTTCCTGCCAAAGCCAGCCATTTGTGATGCAGAGAGGTGCCTGCATCACAGGAGCAGATGTCTGCAAAGGAACCAGGCTCTCAGGTTTAAATATCTTTTGGTTGCTTCAAGGAGACCAAGAAGTTGCTTTAGACAGATCTATTTTTAGCACCTAAGATATCATCTGTCTAGAATGCAAGGAAGTTCTTTGATTGGTTCTGAAAGCAATGTTGGTACTTGGAGCTTTTTTCCAATTTCTTTATGATTTCAAGAATCTTAATTTAAAAACTATTTGGCCCCACAGGAGGCAGAAGCTATCCAAGACTAGGTTTTCAGAATCCACAGAGCAAAGAGTTTATCATATTAATGGTAATCTGACTTGAAAATGAAAAGGGAGGGTAAACAGGGTAACTAGTATAATAAAAATATAATACCGCCTCCAAGAATCTGTATACAAAAGTATTTTTTATCTATTATCTCACCTGGTTTCATAATGCCTATAAAGTACAAATATATTATTCCTATTTTGCATATGACAAGCCTAAAGAATAGTAGGGGGAAGGAATTGTTTTCTGAACACCTGCCTCCTTCCAGGCACTATGCAAGGCATGCTATAAATGTTCCCTTTTATGTTAGTCCTGTGTGTTGGAACTGCTTGCCTCAAATTTTGTTCAGAGGTTAAATAAGTTGTGCAAACTTATACAGTTAAAAAAGCAGCAGAGCTGGGATTCAGACTTATATAGCACCAACTGTCCTGGAGGCTTGGGCCTAGCTCTCTGGGATTTTACAAACAATTCTAAAGAGTCCTATGCTGATGGTATTGTCCCTGAACTTTCACTTCCTCTAATACCTATCACATGTTCACCCTCTCTGGTTCTTGGGAGGATTGAAACATGTTTTTATCATGAATGAACAAAGAGCAAGAGCTTGGTCTTGTTCACATCTAGGCAGCTTCTGGGTCAGCTATATGGAAGATGCCATAGCATCCAGGGAGATTTTTCTCTGCAATGATTAAACTTTCCTGGATGGCAAGTCTGTCACCCTCTCCAGGGTAGAGGTACTTCACACCCCATATAGTCACCATTTTTGTGCGGCCTGGGGGAAACTGCTATCTTAAGCCAAAGAATGTATATGTAACTGCAATATGTAAAACTTGCACAAATTCCTAGTGGTAATTTCAACTAACATTTCTATCCAACAGAGTTTCAGTTCCTGCATTCAGCTTATGGTAGGAGAGCTATTTTTCCTCATCTGTATTACGGCCTATGAATGTGTTATCTTGTAACAATGGTAGAACCCCTCTCCTTTCTTCCCTAAATCCCATCCCCTAGGCTTGGGCTCCCCCCAGGTGGCTCAGCAGCAGTTCCTAAAGCATGCAGGAACATGTCTGATGGTGCAAAATCATGGGTTGGAGACACACATGAACCATTTCCCTAGGGCAACAATGAAGGATCATGGCACTAAAAGGCGTCTCTCACCCTAACCTGGCTGCTGAATTCAAACAAATGAACCAAAATTCCAGGGTCTATATGTGGCTTTTCTGTTGGCTTTGTGGCAGCCTCTTTGAAGGAGTCCCTGGATTATGCTAAAACACCAGTCTGCCCCAGGATCAGATTTCCTGTCTCCATCAGCAGTCTGACATGTTTGAAGACTTGGTGACTTTAAATACAATCTGTTCTCTTAGCTCAGATCTTGAGCTCTGGGCTCATTATTGGGGCATTTTCCGGGATGGTGAAAGGTGGGAGCCTAGTGTGCCAATGAGTTGAGGGATCAAAAGCTGAGTTCTGGGGCAGTGTGGACTCCAGGCCCAAGGCACCACGGGAACTTCTGGGCACCTGTGAGGGTCCTAGCAGTGTAACTTGACTAGGTCCTTTTTGTCATAGACAGGAAGGGACCATGGGAAGGACTTGCCACTTTAACGACCCTCAGCTGGGCTGCTGAGGACAATGTTTTTGTAAAATCTCTGCACACTTTCTCAACTTTTAAACCTGATCATCTAGTTGTCAGAAATTAATTTTTTGTGTTGCACATCTTTCAGAAGATGAGCTGTGAAATTTCTTGCCACTATTGTGGGCTGTGTGATCTTGGGCAACTTGCTAATGTTTCTAGGCTATAGATGAAGTTTTATTCCACATGGATATTTTCATATCTTTAATGCTAACACCCCATCCTTTTACAATTTTATTATTTCAATTTTGCAAGCCACAGACCTATTTCTCTCTCTCTCTCTCTCTCTCTCTCTCTTTCTCTCTCGGTTGCCCCAGAATATATGAACTTGGACAGAGGTTTCCATAAAAAGTTAGAGAAGGTCTCAGACTTCTTCACCCTTCCACTTAAAGCATCTGAAATGAGGATGCATGAGTAGTATGGATAGAACACTTAACAAAATATTCTGTGGCAGGCCCTAAGTGGCCCTTTGAAGATACAAAGACCAGTAAGACAAGCTCTCCAATTCTCAAGGAGTGTGCAAATTATTGGGGAGACAGATAAGCCAGCCAAGTACAGGAACTTCTAAGAATCACAGGAATGGTGAGGGTGGTCAACTACATGGAGTGCATGCAGAAGCTGTGGTCACTGGGTGGAGAGAAGAAAAGACTTTGTAGTACATGTGCGTCTTCAGCTCATGATTGATGAATTAGTCTAAGTTTACCAGGTGGAATGTGAGAAGAGACATGCCAGAAGAGCTAGCAATATGGACGAAACCACAGATATGTGTAGCTCCTCTGCATATTCTGGGAATGATAATCAGTGGGTGTACTGTAGTATAGACTGGAGACTGAGAGACTAGCGAGATCATCGAACTAGATCATGGGGCCTTGAATGCAATAAGGACTTCAGACCAGCCTATATGCAGTAGAGAACCAGGGAATATTCTTAAGAAAGAGGGTTTTCTGATTGTGTCTTAGATAGGTCGCTGTAGCTGTAGCTTAATGATTGGAGGGGACAGGTTTAAAAACAAACAGAACAGTGAGGAAGCAGTTGGAGCAATTCAGGTGAGAGATGCTGAGAGCTTGAATTAAAGCCCTTTACCAGTATGGAGATGGAAGAATAGATAGCTACCAGAACTTAAACTGGGTGACACTTTATTTTTTACCCTCATGTCAATACTATGAAGCAATCAGTGAATGGTAGTTATTGCCATTTTGAGATAACCAAAAAATTAAGTGACTTGCCCAAGATCCCATAGCTAATAAGTGGCAGAGCCCAGGATAGAAGAATGCAAATTTCCTGACTCAATACATTGTTCAGGATGATGGTCCCTTGCTGCCTCTCCTCTTTGTAAGTGTGCTTAACAGATTGTTCAAGTGTCAGAGGGTGTGAAGGTCCCATATCCAGGGAAGTGAACAACCCAGCACCTGGATGTGGGCAGCCTGCTGTGACTGGCCATGGCCTTCACTGCCAATGGTTCTCTCTTTTGTTCTGTCTTTTTGACTTGAAGGATGGCACATATACTATAGTACACTGATCTTAAGTATACAGCTTAACAACATTTTTCACATGTAATACACACACACACACTGTAATACACACACACACATATACATATATATACACACATATAAATATAGCAATCGCACAGTTCAAAATATAAAACATTTCTAGGAAGTGGTTTCTTTCTTGCACCCAAGAATATGCCCTCCTATTAGAGCAGCCTCTTCCACCACTATACTTCTAAAAAGCTTTAGTTGGGTTTGTTTTCATTCCACAACTAAGCTTTGATCAGCACCACCAAAAGAACGGGTGCCGTTAGAATTGTACTTAGAAGAACAGGATTATCTAACTAATGAGGAGGTCAAGTTGATATTTGGTTTTAAGTTTTCACATTTATTCAATTATTTAGTATTCAAATATACAGAGGAGGCATAGAAAATAATGTTTGTTTTCTTTAATGAAACCAGAAGAAAATGCCCCTTTATTCAGGAAAATGTATAGTTTAGCTAAGGGTTCACTTAGGGAAGACAATCAAAGGCATAATCCCATTTGCTTTTTTCCTGATTAATCTGCAGCATTGTTTTACTGGGTATCATGCTGTCTTGTTCACTCCCTGGTTAGCGTGTGGCTATGTTGCATCCCCAGCTAGATTGTAAGTACCTTGTATGCAGTGACCGTGACCCACGTTGTGTTCCTGTCCACGGTGGCGCTCCCCTCAGTGCTGAGCGCAGTTAGACCTCAGTACTCTTTGGCTAATTTTGATTTACTTTGTCACACAGCCCTTCAGGCTAATGTCAGACTTTTGGCTAATGATGCAAATTATAAGTATGTGCCACTTGGAGGAAAAAATTGGAATGAATCAGGACCTCTAATTTCTCCAAATTTATACAACCAAATTCAGTGCTCCTGCTCACTGGTGGAGTCCCATGAGGTTCTTATGGGCATGGGCTTATTCTTTCTGACTCCTCAGAACTTACTTGTTTAACCTTTCAGGTAGTTGTGTTGGGTGGCCTCAGCTTTCCAGCCACATGGAGTATCAAGTTCTAAATTTGGAGACATTTTCATAAGCTTTTCAACACTAATTGGATCCTTTGTTAATCCCCTTCATACCAGCCCTCTGCCCCCATAAAGAACCCAAGATGATTGCTTTAAATGGACTTTTCTCCTCCTGTAGTATATGCAGAGCCATGTCTGGATATCCAGAAGAGGCCCTGAACTATACTTGGGAGTTCCTCTAGGCCTCCATTTCTCTTTGCCAGAATTCTCCTTTTAGTGTCACTTTCCTGCCCATGATTTCCTTCTCATTCTTCAGCATCTGCTGTATATATTGCGGGCCATTAATGCAAGCAGAGTCAGCATATATCAGCTGCACTCCTAGCCTTAGTTTAGTAAGAACAGTAGAGTCCCTGACCTTTTCTAACCTTAGCAGTTCTGTGATTGAAGGAACAGAGACATTTGTTATTATCCAGACAGTCAGAGGAAGATATGAAATCTCTCTGAAGGTAGAATATTCTGGTGAAATTAGAGCATATATAGGCATACTTTCTTCTCAGACTACACTGACTTACCTTAGCCCCTTGTGAAAATGTTTCAATTATATTTGACTGTTGTCAGTACAACCCCATCTCCTGCTAATATGCTTTTAAAAATTCCATATCAAAGACTCCCAAGACCTTATTTGAATGGAATAGAAATTTGGGTAAAGGATGTTTCTTCTCTAGTGTTTGAAAGTATAGTAAAAAGTTGGGCATTTCTACCCTTTGGAGGCCTATTTCCTCTCTCCTTCCCCTCTGGGTACCATGAAGGTAAGTTTTTTGAGTCAGTCCCACTTCTAGAACATATAAAGGATCATCTTTCAAGCTTCTCAAGCTGAGCTTTGAGTTAGCCAAGGAAGTCTTTACAGACCTCAAACTGGGCCTCATCTCTATTTCACACCTACCCCAAGTTGGCATTTACTTTTGGGATGGCCTAAAGGATCATTTCTAATTTATGAGCTGTCTCAGGTGGGACACCCAGTAGCACCTCAGCAGGATATAATTCAGGGATATGCAGAGGTTTGTTCATCTGACCTTGGATGGGTGTCCAGGATGAGTTAGCAAGGAGTGCCCCACTGGATAACTAGGAACACACCCACAGGGCCCTGTGCCTTTTAAGCTTGCATGGCTACATCTCAGTCCATTTAGAGGACATGGTATTCCAGTAAGAATAAAGTTTTTCCACAACTTATTAAATACACCTCCTGAGGAAATTTCAGACAAAAAGGAGGGGGGCTGAGTTGATATAGCCTAGTACACAAAGGCTCCCAACTTGATCCACATTATAAAGTAGCTGAGGAATATACCAGAGCCTTATGCCAGAAGGTCAGGTAGAAGGAAGCAGTATTCATGGACATGTTCATGGTTTTAGTAGTACTTATAAAACCCTGATGCTCTTAGTGTAAGTGCAGATTTCCTCAGTTTTCAACCATCTGGAAGCTCACTTCAGCACTGCTCCCACCCCACTAACCCATCTCAGAAAGGCTGAATCATTCTGTGTGTCTGAACAGGCCCTTTGGGTTATATGTTTCTGTCCAGCACAAAATCCTTGCTTTGTGTCTGTGATTGGTGGTGCCCACTTCTTATTTCTGCCTAATGCCATTCTTGTGTCTTCCCTTAAGCCACTCTGCTGATGAAACAGGCCTGGCCACAGAACTCGTCTTCCTGTGGCACTGAAGGCACCTTCCACCTCCCAGTGGACACCGGGACCGAGAACCGAACTTACCAAGCATCCTCTGCGGCTTTCAGTAAATACAGCCTGTCTCCTCCTTTCCTTGTTCCCCTTGGTTGGGACTGATTTGTTTCTTAGAAAGAAAGGAAAGGGGATTTTTTAAAATGATCTTTATTATATAAATACTACTTTAAAAGGTTCTCCTATCCATGCAAAAAGTTGGCCTTCCTCATTCAATAAAGATCTCATTGATCATGCACCCTGCTTTAGGGAGACACACAACAGTGAGGGAGGGAAAAGGAGTACTCTCCTTCTGGCTGAGAAATTGGATTAGGAAAAGACTATTACTGCATTTCAGGGGAAAGAACAGAAGGCACATTTTGAAGACCTGTGTGTGTTTGGACAGAGAGGGATTTCCCCTTAGGCAGGATTTCTTAACTACAGCACTATTGACTTCTGGGCCAGATAATTCTTTGTTGTTGGGGACTGTCCTGAACATTGCAGGATGTTTAGCAGCATTCCTGGTCTCTACACCTAGATGCCAGGAGCAAAGCACTATATGACAACCAAAAATGTCTCCAAACTTAGTAAATGCCACCCCACCCCACCCCCTTTGAGGAACATTGCTCTTGTGGAAGCTATACTATGGGAATAAAGTACATATATTGACAAAAGCCAGCCGGCCTTGTCAGATTGGTCATGATAATCTAGAGGCTCAGTAGGGTAACTAGTGCTATCATCTCTATATTTCTGATTTTTTAAAATATTTTTTTTGTTTTAGTTAGACACAATACCTTTATTTTATTTTATTTTTTTTATGTGGTGCTGAGGATCGAACTCAATGCCCTGCACATGATAGGTGAGCGCTCTACCACTGAGCCACATCCCCAGTCCCTATATTTCTGATTTTTCACACAGTGGTTCCACTGAGGAAATGAGACCCAGTGATTAGAAATTACTGAGTGGCATTTTGATTCTATATAAGGAAGAACTTGGTGCTTCATGGGAGCTTTTAGATGAATGGCTGACTTTGGATATGGTGAGGACTTAGCCTTGGAGTTATGCCAGCAGGGGTTATAAGCCTTTAGTGTGATGTTACAGTGAATTGCTAGTCTACCAAGTAAGTAGATTAGAAGAATTCATTGTATTTTCTCTTCTTTAAAACCTCCAATGTCACTTCTTATCATTTGCCCCTAAATGTCAATATCAGCTTACAGAGTATAGCTTGTCTTTTGGATAATGTGCTTTCATAATCATCCTCTTATTTATTTATTTTTATTTTTTGGCAATACTAGGCATTGAACCCAGGGGTACCTACCACTGAGCTACATCTCTAGCCCTTTTTATTTTTATTTTTTTTAAAATAAGACCTCACTGAGTTGCTTAAGGCCTTGCTAAATTGCTGAGGGTAGCCTTAAACTTGCTGTCCTCCTGCATCAACCTCCTGAGTCACTGGGATTACAGGTGGGCCACTTTGCCCAGCACCCTCTCATTTAGCCAACACTATGGTCTTAAAAGTCATTTAGGGGGCTGGGGATGTGGCTCAAGCGGTAGCGCACTCGCCTGGTATGCGCGGGGCGCTGGGTTCAATCCTTAGCACCACATAAAAATAAAATAAAAATGTTGTATCCACCGAAAACTAATAAATAAATATTAAAAAAATTCTCTCTCTCTCTCTCTCTCTCTCTCTCTCTCTTAAAAAAAAAAAGTCATTTAGGTGGATTTTTCATCCTAGTTTGAAAATTAAGGCTCAAAAAGGTAATATGCCCAGTGCTGCCCAACTAATAAGCAGCAAAACTGGAAAGAGATATCACCCAGGGTTAAGATTTTATTCCTAACTCTTTTCATGAGGTTAATTTTACCCTTTAAGAGAGAGATACCAGCTATGGAGAGTTTTTCCACATATCTCAGGTAGAATTGAAAGAACATATATAAAACTATGTATGTTAATTGGCTTAAAACTATTCTCTCATACAGCTGCACATACATAGATAAATACATGAAGGCATACCTACTGTAGTGCAGTAAGAAGAGGCCTGGAGTAGAAGTCCCAAATTGATTCTAGACTTGGTTCTGAGTAGCCTTAGATAATTCATGTCCATGCTTTGGACTTTGGTCTTTTTTAAATGAGGCCCCTGAATTGGTTCATCCTAAACATTCTCAATAACCAGTAGACTCCTGATTCTCTCACGTTGCAGCTCTGTATCAATATCCTCCCCACCACAGGGACCTCCTCTCCAGCAGCTCTCACCAGTAGTTGCCATCAAGCCTTTGCTCATATCTTCAAGATCAGCAATCTATTTTCTTCCAGAGGCAGCCCTTTCCACACTTAGGCAGTCCAAGTATCAGAAGGCCTTGCCTTGTACTATCTGAAGGCTTCCTGAAACTCCATTAAAATGTCCAGTAACCATGTCCCCTCCCAGACAGGCTGTCATAGTCCCTGGGAAGGACCGAAATGTATCCCTCTCTTGTAAATAAGTAATGTTTAAACCTGTATAACTCTTTAATGGAGTTGGGATTGACTGACCCACTAATTGCCACATTTTGTTGCTTCTAGTGCCATAGAAAATTCAGGGGGGTGGGGCTGGGGATGTGGCTCAAGCAGTAGCGCGCTCGCCTGGCATGCGTGCGGCCCGGGTTCGATCCTCAGCACCACATACAAACAAAGATGTTGTGTCCGCCGAAAACTAAAAATAAATATTAAAAAAAAAAAAAAAAAAAAGAAAATTCAGGGTGCTTTGACAAATTCAGTTTGGTTTCACCAGCACTTGCTAAGCCTGTTTGTAAATAGGTCTCCCTCCTACTTGTTCAGTGCTCAGTTTAGCTACCAACAAGGAGAGTCAGAGGTCAAGGCAAGACTCAGACATAGAGCTTTGTTTTGTCCAGACGTATAAACCCATTGATCAATAAACCTATTAGTCTAAAAGGCACCTGTGATGTGAGGACCAATACCTTTGAAAGTGGTAGGGCTTCTACAACTGAAAGATTTATAGCAGTGAAGAAGGACTGAAGAGAGGGCTGGAAAAGTTTTACCTTGCTAACATACACACTCTCTTTATTATCCTGTTTGATGGAGCCTAAAATTATGGTTAGGAACCTGAGACAAACAATAGATATCATAAAGCTTCTTTTATAAGACAAAGCTGGGACTTCTAATGATCAAATTCCTCTTATGATTTTGCCCTTAGTGAAATTAGGATACAAAGACCAATATACTAAATGCCCAAAATTGAACTGGAGAAACCTTTAACTCAGAAAGAGCTCTGTCCAAGACAAGAACTCAAGCCCTGAACTCTGGACACAGCTTTCATTAATTTGTTATGCAATTTGGGGGAAATTGAAATTGCTGTCCTTTCAGGCTCTAGATTCTTCCTCTGAAAGGGAGAAGGTTGATTGAAAGCCTCTAATGTCCTTAAAGCACAGCATATCGAAGTCCTAATATTATGACCTTCAGATTCAGAATTTCTTTCAGGATTGCCAGGCCATCAGTGAGCCTAAGTTCACTTGGGTAAAAACCATTTTTTTTTTTTTTTTTTGCAAGAAGCCCAGTAACTTTTTTTTTTTTTTTTCATGGTACCAAGGATTGAACTCAGAGGCACTGGACCACTGAACCACATCCCCAGCCCTATTTTGTGTTTTATTTAGAGACAGCATTTCACTGAGTTGCTTAGCGCCTCACCTTTCCTGAGGCTGGCTTTGAACTCCCAATTCTCTTACCTCAGCCTCCTGAGCCCCTGGGATTACAGGTGTGTGCCACTGGGCCCAGCCCCAACAACTTCTTTTACTTAGATTCACAAACTAAGAAACCCTGACTTTTGTGATACTGTAACCCAGACTACAACAACAGGAATTTTCAGACTGGACCACCAGTCTGTTGTAGAAAGTCCTCTGTAGTAATGTTCTCATAAAAGTCCTACTGAGATACTCAGAAACTCAGAATATCATCATCTTCAGAAAGACCCTCTGAAATTATCCAGTCCAAATGAGTACATTCCCTGAGAGAAGTGAGCAGAACTCTCTGAAGGAGCCTAGGCTGAGGACCCTGGGTAGCTTCTGTAGCCTCATATCTTCCTGACACAAATGGTAACCTTGATTACCACTGTGGTTAGAGAAAGTGTTCCCATGAGCAGTCATTCTTTTTTAGTATCTATTTATTCTCTCACCTGTGAAATGTTTATGTCGGTCTGGGAGATCTCTAAGACCTCTTCTAGCTCTGCGGCTCTGCTTCTCCCATCCCAAACTGTCTAGACAGACAAGCAGGGCCTTCTAGATCAGCATCTCTTTGGTTGCCAAGGATGTTTTAGTTACTTGTTTGTATTCTGAGTATGTGTCTCATTTCATAACATGAAGAAAGGGAAACATTCTCAGAAAAGGTTGTTCTTAGATGTGGAAAGCAGATTCTACTGCAGTCTCTGAGAGCCTTTTCCTCAAAGGGAGAGTCCCTGCACTTTGTAATCTGGTTGTCCTTGTGGCATAGAGGGGTTGCGGAACCTTTCCTGGTGAAGATAAAAATTCCAGAGCACATTCTCTAGGAGCATGAAGTAAAGTAACCAGCAGTGTTGTCCTGTTAACTCTATAAAGAATCATAAAATCATAGTATTTCCACCATAAAATTTTAGAATATTAGAGTCCTGGAGTCTTTGCTCCAAGTTGGAACAAACCATACCAGTCATAATTTAACTTCTTATCTTTTGTATTCATTCAGACCAGACTTGGCTTTTATGCCTCCAGAATAGGAAGTTTACTATCTTTATGCAGTGAGAGAGAAAAAAATAATAACAGCTACCCTGTTTGAAATGTTTATAATATGTCCAGCACTGTACTAAGTGCTTTGCACTTATCAATGTATTTATCACAGAAACTTTATGAAGTAGGTGCTGTTACTACCCCCATTTTACAGGTGAGAAAATGATATATTCCACAGCTATTAAATTGCAGGACTGGGGTCTGGCCCCAGACTGTCAGTCTGTCTTCAGACTGTAACCACTGCTCTGTGCTGTAGTACCTTCAGAGACAGCCATCTTCCGATTGAGGATGCCCTCTTCTGCATAGAAACGAGATGTCTATCCTGGCAGGACTCTCCACACATTGTTTTGTATTGTTTCCTTTTCTTTCTTTCTTTCTTTCTTTCTTTCTTTCTTTTTTTTTTGAACGCAGGTATCAAATTAGGTAGAAAGCCAGGCACTTAACCACTGTGTAGCATCCCAAAACCTTTTTTTATTTTTTGAGACAGGGTTTTGCTAAATTGTTGAAGCTGGCCTTGAACTTGAAATCCTCCTGCCCTCAGCCTCCTGAGTTGCTGGGATTACAGGTGTGTGCTACCATGCCTGGCTTGTTTTGTTTTTAGAAATAAGCCCTTCCTTTTTTTTTCTGTACTGGAAATTGAACCTGGGACCTTGTCCTTGCTGGGCAAGCACTCTCCCCAGGAGCTACATCCCCAGCCTTTGTTTTCTTGTTGTTTGCAATGCTCTGGGGCCTGAGTCCTGTGACCTCACACATGCTAGGCAAATGCCTTATCACTGAGCTACATCCCCAGCCCCTCTACATCTTGTTTTATTCCTTTTTTTTTTTTTAACATTTTTTTAGTTGTAGATTAACACACAGTATTTTTATTTATTTTTATGTGGTGCTGAGGATTGAACCAGGACCTCACACATGCAAGGCAGGTGCTTTACCACTGAGCTACAGCCCCACCCCTTGTTTTATTCCTTTAAATCAAGGGTCGGGAAACTTTCCTATAAAGGGCCAGACTTTAGATAGTAGATACTTCAGGCTTTTCAATCCATATGATCTCTGTAACTACCATTGTAACAAGAAAGTAGTCATTGCAGGTATGTAGTTAAATTAAAGATTTATTTACCAGATAAGTTGTAATTACAGAAAACCACAGACTGGAATTATTATTATGAATAAAAGATTTCTGTGGTCCTACCAGGTGTGGTGGCACACATCCTTAATCCCAGCTGCTCAGGAGGCTGAGGCAGAAGGATCACAAATTTGAAGCCAGTCTCAGCAACTTAGCAAGACCCTGTTTGAAATAAAAAATAAAAAGGGCTGGAGATATAGCTCACTGGCAAAGTGCCTCTGGGATCAATTTCTAATACCACCCAAAAATAATAATAATAATTCTATGATAATTTTAGGGGAATACAGTCCCTTATATATCCCCCCATCTTCAGAGATTCATAGCTCATTGAATTATTTTAAAGACTTCTCAGGGCCACAAAATTAAAACAAAACAAAACAAAAAACACCTATTTATCTCTATATTACATTGCTACTTCACTAATTATGGGACCTCAAAACTCATCCCCTTCTTTTCTCTTCTCCAAATACTATTAAGATTCCCTGGGGGACTGGGGATATAGCTCAGTGGTAGAAAATTTGGCTAGGATGTGCAAGGCACCTGAGTTCAGTCTCTGGTACCATAAAAGAAAAGAAGATCCCCTGGAATCAGCCCATTTTGAGAATCCCCTTTGTTTCTTAGAGAAATAAACTGTCTCCAAGGTGAAAAGGTGAAGTACCCATCAGATGGCTCCTTCTAGGTTTCTGCAAACCTAGACTCTGTCTTCTCATGTGGTATCTGCTTTTTTTCCTGTGACCACATCTCAGGTTTAGCTCCATAGTCTAGAAACCTTAGGGAATCTGCTCTATAATTCCCTTCCAGTTAATTTCTACTTCTTATCAATTCTGCCTTTTCTTTAATGTATCTTTTTCACCGCATCTTCTTTGCTACTTATTTCCCAAACAAACTTGAGGACAAAACAAATTTTTCATGGAACAAACTCTGTAGATATGCAGGTGGGAAAATAAATAACAGTTCCAGGGGAGATGACAGGACATCTTTTGTGCCAGCTGAGCAATAGCTCTGATATCCTGTTGAGTCATCAGGGCAGAATATACCAAGCCAAAGCTGTGGTGTAACTGAGGATTTGTGCCCATGTGGTAGCTTGCTTTTACTTGGAGTTAGGATAGAGGAAACCCATAATCTTAGAGCCATGGAATTTTAGTTTAGAAAGAGATTTTCATTTTTAATCTCCTATTTTACAAAATAAGAAACTAAGGCCCAGAGATTTAGGCAGTTGACATCCAAGTTAGGCAGAAAGCCAGACCAAAGCCTAGATCACTTCTCCTCTAATAAAGTTCCTTGCTACTCTGACCCCTAGTCCCTTCTTTCAGACACAGTCCCTTGGGGCTTAAAGGTTCCTTGGTGAACATCTTATAGGCAAAAGAATGAAGCCCAGAGAGGTCCAACGACTTTAGCTAGACCCACCTAGGACAGGACTACAGGGCAGAAGCCACCCTAGCATCTTTCTACAGGGGCTTCAGAGCCAAGGTCCTCTGACACTGACCCTTCAACTCAGAAGGAAAATTTTAGAATCTTAATTTTTTTTTTTTTTAATACTGGAAAATGAACCCAGGGGCATTCTACCACTAAGCTACATTCCCAGCCCTTTTTATTTTGCTAAGTCACCCAGGCTGGTCTTGAACCTGTGATCCTCCTGCTGCAGTGTCTTGAGTAGCTGGGATTACAGACCATCATGCTTGGCTAGAGTTTAGAGTCTTTAGGAGAAGTTTCTAAAAAGACTTGTCCTGTCTGAGCCTCAGGATCCCCTCATATAACTCAGAGGACTGGGGATCAGTTGATGACTACCTAGTTCAATAGGATGATTCCATTTGGTGATTTTATAAGGACACCTTGTTCCTGAGTGACTTGTATTTGAAGTCCTTCCTGTAAACATAAGATCTGACTTTTTTCTGGAGGTCTCAAAAGAAGCACAGTTTGTTCTCATAGCCAATTGTGAACTTCTTGGGGCCTGAATTCACAACCCCCAGCTGTTGTCTGGCCTGCTGAGGTGCAGACATGGCCCGGGTCTGGGTCCTGACTTCAGGCCCATGGGGCAAAGATGACCTCCCACAAGTCACAGGAGGGGAGGAAAAGCCAGCTCTGCAGAGCAGTGTTTTCAACATCCCAGAAGATGAGCATCTGAGAGATGTTTCATGTGGGTTTTTACCTTCAGACTTGGTGCGGAGGAGGCAGCATGGTTAAGGAGAAAAAAAATAGAACAAGAGTAAGGAAGAAGGCAGGACCACTAGCAAAAGATACTCTGGGATGCTGGGATAAGTGAGGAGACAGAAAAGCAAGAAGATGGGAGTGGGGGTGTTAAGGGGCTTCCATCTGTGTGGACCTACTTTTCTCAGACAGTGCAGGAACCCAGGCCTTCATAGCTTAAAGGGTCCTATAAGAGACCATCTGGTTCTGGCCTCTTACTTTGTAGATGAGAGTCCTTGAAACCTAGAGAAATAAAAAAATCTCTAGAAACACACATGTTGCCCTGTGCACCAGGACTGAGGGAGCTGCCTCTAGGGCTAGGGCTCTCTGGGTTGAGCCCTGTTCTCTTGTTTGTTCTCATTTGTGTTTCCAGCCTGGATTCAGCCTATCTTTGTCTGGGGAATTGTGACTGGGACCTGCTGCCTTCTAGCACCACTGTTATGCCAACTAACTGGTAGTCTCTCTTATTGCCTTGGTACAGGATATACTGCAGGGACTCCATACAAGGTCCCACCGACCCAGAGTAATACTGCTCCACCCCCCTACTCCCCATCACCCAACCCCTATCAGACGGCCATGTATCCAATCAGAAGTGCCTACCCCCAGCAGAATCTGTATGCACAGGTAGGTATACATGGAGGTCTGGGCCTATTTCTTCTGCAAGTAGAGGACCCTCCAGACTGAGTATGGTGGGTGGGGTAGGGTGAAAAAGAGTGGAGGGTTCATAATTCTGGCCAGCCATCACTGGTGCCATGGAAGCAATATCCCTGAAGCCTGCTTTCTCCTTCCCTCTACCTCAGTCCCCAGAGGGGTGAGGCATGAACTCTAATTTAGATGAACAGAACTCAGAATATCTGGGGGGCCCGGGCTGAGGCCTTTAGTGATCATCTAGTTGAACTTCTTTGTTAAACAAGTGGGGAAACAGACCCGAGAGGGGAGTGTCTTGTCCCAGGTCACACAGTGAGCTATTGGTTGAGTCAGGATGATGAGATCCCATGTCTTAGTCTTCCCTAACCCCACATCTACTCTTCCTTGATAAAGTCTGTGAACCAAGTAAGAAGGAGAAAAGTGCCCAGGCTCTGCCACCGGTTCCCTATGACCTTGGGCAGTTATTCTATCTGTGCCTCAGTGTCCTCATTTGGACTCTTTCAAGGGAATAATTGTGTACACTCTGAGGATGTGAGTTAGAGACCATATGATTTCTCTGGTGTGCTCATGGCACATTCTTCTGGAGGTTTAATTGGCAGGGGAAATTTTTTTTTAATTGAAAAACTATATTGCCAATTAGAATGCAGAACTTTTCAAAAAAAAAGAGACTTGAGATTAATTTTTCTCATTTATGGAAAATTGTATTAGACTATCCTCTCAGACCTTTGAATCCCTTGTCACTATATAGTGGAAAGATACGAAAATTTTTGGATTAAAATGATTGCAGGGGCCTCTCTCTACTCAGCAGGCATATGAGTGGTAGTAGCAGGAAGCAGCCATGTGATCCAGACACTGGGAAGTCACCTCAGATCTCTGTCTCCATCCTTATCTTTTGGTCAAAAGGAGAGAGATAGTAAGTAAGAGACATCGTGGAAAACGCTGTTGATCGATGGCACTTTCTCAGTGTGTAAGCTGCCAACACGCACACCAGTCTGGTAACCTCTCAGCATATGTGCGTAGTGCTCTGGGATTCACCAGCCCCATTCACATGCTTAGAAACTGATTGATTATTGTTCCCACCTTTAAATTATAGGAAGCTTTTGGAGTATAGTTCAATAAAATACAAACATTTTAAATTGCTAATACTAGGGTTAAAGGAGTAGAGCTCTTACCCCATTAGGGAGCAAGCAGCCCTAGGAGCAAATTAAGATAGGTGTGGGGGTGACCAGTAGCTGAGCCAGCACTGAACAAGCCACAGTCATGGTAAGACAAAGCAGGGCTCCAGCTGGGGCCTAGGCCTGTGTCGATGGGTCAGTGCTTCTCCCCTCCGCATTCCTTTGGGTCTGAGAGGAACAGAGTCCCTATCCCAACCATTTCCCTCCATCCCCTGCCACCTCTCCAAGAGCCCTTGTGACCTCAGCCTCTTTTCCCCAGGGAGCCTACTATACACAGCCGGTGTACGCTGCCCAGCCCCATGTCATCCACCATACCACGGTCGTCCAGCCCAACAGCATTCCCTCTGCCATCTACCCGGCGCCTGTTGCTGCCCCCAGGACCAATGGCGTGGCCATGGGCATGGTGGCCGGCACCACCATGGCAATGTCAGCAGGTGAGGGCAGTATCTGCCTTAGCATCCCTCTTTCTCCTCCGGGAACTCCTGACGGAGCAGAGAACAATCATGGAACTGATTGCCACACAACATAAGAAATCCTATGCGGAGATGTTCCAGGGACATAGAGGAAGGACCTTCTAAATCTGTCGCAGAGATGAGAAAGATTTCACCAAGAAGGGGATATTGAGCAAGGCTTTAAAGGGTGAATAGAGGCCAGGCAGAGAGGTGACAGAGGGAAGAGCAATACAGGCTGAAAGAATCCAAGGGTGGCAAGTTGATAGAATGGAGGTGGCTGAAGGCGCTTCGGAAGTAGGTGGAAGAGTGGTGGCACGGCAGCCAGGGTGAGACAGGGAAAAGTTTGAGAATCTTAAGGTGAGGGAGCTGGCAAGGGGCTTCAAGTAGAAGGACAGGGTTGGGTTTAGATCTCTCTGGCGACAGGCTGAAGCAGGACCAGAGGATAAGGGTTGGAAGCAGATAGGCCAGTGAGGAGGCTGTCACTGCAGATTAGGGGAGAAATGATGACATGAGGACTCTGGTATCAGTAGGGGGCCCAGAAAAGAGGGCACAGGGCAATGCTATTTTAGCAGACAGGAGTATAAGGACCTGTGGTGAGAGAGAAGGGAAGCAGGAGTCCCCGAAGACCCTTGCAGAGCAGACCAGAGCACTGCCCTTAATGAACCTTGAAGATGGGGATGGGGAGTTCAGCTTTAGGAAGGTCTAGGGTGAGTTGACACTGAGGGAGAAACTGGGCTTTCCCATTAAGGGTGAGAGAAGACCAGGGTCTTTGACTAGCTTGTAGAGACCGAGGCTTTAAAGAGCCAGCGAGGTCCCCATCTGAGGAAAGAAGTGCCAGGGGTAGAGTGGACATTCGGATTTTATTCTGTCCTTTATACTAGCAAGCTACTGATGCCTCTCAGGCCCACCCTGTTGTTTAGGTCCTGGGTACCAGGAATCACTAGGTCAAACCAGAGCCCTTCCCTTAAAGAACATGCAGGTTAGTGTGAGAGATATAAACACAGACACCAACAATTACCGCTTGGTGTGTGCAACAAGAGAATCCCACAAAGAAAAGCGAAAGGAGGCTTCCAAAGAATAGTGGTTGATTCTCTCCTCCAGCATCCGAAAAGATCCTCCTAAAGAGGTAAAGCTTGACATGGTAGAGAAGGTTCCTTAGGCAGGGGAGATGGGGGACTCACTCAGGGGGAGCACTAACTTAAAAGGCATGGTTTCCTCCTCTTCACCCCTGACCCTGGTACAGACTTGTCAGGTTTCCTCTTCTCTTTGCATGCTCAGGTACTCTGCTGACTACACCCCAGCACACCGCGATTGGGGCACACCCTGTGTCCATGCCAACATACAGGGCCCAAGGAACCCCTGCGTACAGCTATGTGCCCCCGCACTGGTAAAACCTTCAGCCCATCCAAGTGAGTGGGGCCAGGGCGGGAGAGGTGGGAAGGGAATGCATTTAGAAACTGCCACAAAGCCCTGACCTGAGTCTGGAGCCTAGGTGTTGTTTTCCTGTTCCAAGATCTGTAATTTCACTCTTTTTTGTGTGTATATGTGGTTCTGACTATTGAACCTATAGGCTCTGGGTTATCTCATAATACTCACAGTAGCTCTGTGAAATAAGAATCATTAGCTCTGTTTTGCAGATAAATATGTAGCTCAACACCATTCAGCCAGTAAAAATTGATCTGAGACTTGAACTCTAGTCCCCCAGTACCAAATTCTGTGTTTTTAACTGTATGGCCTTCAGACTTCCGTGAGCCCCATTCTTCAGATGAAATCTTCACCTAAATTGGATGTTAGCTATGGTTTGAGGCAAGTGGAAACTTGGGATTGACCCTGACCACCAGCCCTCTGCTGCCCTACTTCTGAAGCAGTGCCTGTGAACTGTAGGATTCCAAGGCTCTCACTTGGGAATTTGCCCTATAGCAGCATCTCCCTTGCCCTCCACCTCCTCTGGGGGAAGTTGGTGCTAGATAACAGCTTCCATGGGCAGGGAGAAACAGCTCCACTAGGAGAACACAGAGGGCTCTGGTTAGGGCTCCCAAGTTGAAAGGAGGGGGTTCAGAGGCTTCCTGAAGTGGCCTGTGGAATATCACTGTCACTGACGGTTTCCCTTCCTCCTCCAGATCTGGAGTCACACATTGTATGCAACTACTCAAGTCTTACACCGGTGCTGGAGCAGCTCCCTAGCAGCACCACCTCTATTTTCAAGAAGAGACAACAGAAGTGCAAGGGTCACTTTATGCATCTTTAATGATTTTGGTTTTTATTTTTGGTTTTTGTAAAAGCTGCTTTTTCTAATCTCCTGCCTTTCCCCCTAGCCCCCCTCTTAGCTGCTGCCCTTTCAGCTGTACCCACTTCTACCTGATCAGGCCACATCCCCTCAGCACTACTTTTTTCCCCCAAGCATCTAGTCCCCAAGATCCCAGTCTAGTGGCAAGCAGAGCGGGGTTTATTGCAGTGGTTCAGCTGAAGGCTCAACTTCATTTGAAGAATATAAACAGATGTGGCCCTCAAGTCCTGGGTCAGAACTCAGAGCTGTTGAGCAGGCAGCATCTCTGGGTAATTGTTCTTTTTCTTTCTTTCTTTCTTTCTTTTTTTTTAAGCAAAATTAGTTTTAGGACATTTCTACACAAATGAAATGTCTTCTAAGAACCATTGCAGCAGACCAAGAACAAAACCACCTGATTATGTAGGAATGTTATTAGCAGCTCCATGAGAACCTGGGGAAACCAGAGTCTTTGGGAGAATTGGGAGAAGGGTGGGGGGAGGGGGCATTGGGGAAGGAGAGGGAAGAAAGGGGAGAGAGGTGCTTGCCTGATGGCTTTGGTTTGAAAGGTCTCTGACCATATTTCTGGGCCTGGACCTTCTGATTTGCACAGTGATGATAACTGACCTGGCACTTCCTCAAAAGGGGATTTTGACCTCAGACCTGCCAAGCAGCTGCAGGGTAGTGGGATCCCAGCATCCTGAGGACTTGAAAGGCCAGGTTCCCTGCATAATCCAGACCTTGGCCTCTGAGCCCTCACAGACCCACTCTGATGAGGAGCTTCCTCCTGATTTGAGTGGGAACCTGTGGCATTTCTCTCCCTTTCCCTTCTGCCCTTCCCAGTACCAGGGCTCACCTGTCTGTCTATGGGGCTGGCAGACGGGCCAGGCTCCTGGTTACCTTGCGCCATTCATGGCCAAAGTGAAGGAACCACATTCCAGGTGGGTGCTGGTGGCTCTGAAGGTCAGGTTAGTGAAGGAAAAGCAATAGCAATAAACATTTCATAGACTCATGGAACTTAAGGGACCTTAGCAATCATCTCATCCATTTCCCTGTTTGACAGATGAGGAAACTGAGGCCCAGAGAAGAAGAAAGGACTTCCCTAGACCTCGCAGTAAATTAGCATTAAATGCAGCCTTCCTACCTAGTAGTATGTTGCCTACAAAATTTACCTAGGGATGGATTGGCTTGGTTTTGTAAAAATTAAGTCAGCAGCGCTCACACCTGGTGAGCTCCAGAATGCTCTCTGGGCTCTTGTTTCTGCTCCTTACCCTCACGGACTCCAGAGGTATGGGTTGAAGACTGATCTGAGGCTACATGGGGCAGATGGCAGGAACAGAAATTGCAAATGAAGAAATAGCATTTGGAAATTCTGTGAAGACATCTGGAACTTTCGTCCTGTGCCTGACTCCACCCCTAGGAAAAGGAGCAGGTGGGCTGGCTGAAAAGGAGAGGCCATGCTTTTAGGACAGTAGCCCCTCATCCTGAGAAGAGAGGAAGAGAGTGGGAGCCATCAGGAGAGGAGGACGAGGATAAGGCCCAGCAGACATGGGCTCACCTGGGAGAAGAGGGACCCCTAGGACAAAGAGGCCCCTGCTAGTCTCAGCCAGGAGCCTGGATTGCCCAGCACCATCCTCTTGTACCCAGCAGCCCCTCTGGGGTGGGGCAGGAACATTTTACTGTACAAAGTGGGATCATTGACAACATTTGGGATTTTTAAAATAACTTCATTTTAAATTCTTGTAAACTTGGACATATCATTGCCCCTATCTTCCATTTCTCCCCTCAAGGAGGAAAAAAATCAGGAAACCCTTGGGTCAGAAAGACCTCAGAAACCGTCTAGCTGTTCCCAGGAGATCAGAGCCCACAGTGTCCTTGGCCCAGTGCCAGGAGTTTGGGGGCCACCTTCCTGACCTTCCAGGGAACTTCAAGACTAGAAAGAGAAAACCCAGCTATTCTGAGAGGTCTGTTCTGGGGTGCTTGATGAGGTTTTATTTTAAAACAACAGAAAGTTTTCCAGTGTTAATCCATTTTTTGCAAATACTTCCTCCCACCCTCTTTGGTTTCATAAAGGTGGGTGAAGGCTGTTCTAGATTATGTCGTATGTGTTTGGAAAATGCCAAAATAATAATAATGATAATAATAGGAAACATTTGTCAGGTGCTTCATAGATTTCAAAGCACTTCACAGCCTTTAATTTACAGGTCCAGGGAGAGACAGGGTCAGTTATTCCACCCATTTGACAAATGAGAATACAGGTTGTAGAAGAAAGGGAATGGGCCTGAAGTGAGCTGAATGCTGGGGTCCTGACAGGCTTCCATGACCCTGTCGCCTCGTGGGCTGGGTGGAACTACAGAGAGGAGGGGGGAAAGGAAGAGACCTAGGAATGACCTTATAACTTTTGTTCTTTCTACACCCATAAGTAAAAACTAACATCTGTACCTCACATTGCACAGAGCAGTTTAATATATAGCATGTGGTTAACCCTGAGAAATGGTGATTATGCCTCCTATTTGATCCATAAGGAAACCAAGGCTCAGAAATAAGCAGCAGAACCACTTGAATCCCAGGCTGTGTGCTCTTTCTCTTCCAGCCTGACCCCCACAGGCCCATGTACTGAAGTGTCTATGCTCAGCACCTTATCTTGTACCCCCGGTGTACAATTCAGGATCAGAGAGAAGCTCTGAGGTAAAGATAAGGCATTGAAAAGCTATGGTCTGGAGGGCCCAGCCCAGAACCCCTTTGTCAGTATAAGCAGTGGAGCCACAGCTGAGCTGGCCTTGCCCTCTTTGTTTTGACAGAAATCCATAAGCCTGGCCAAGCTTAGGGAGTCACTACAAAGGGATCTAGCCCTGGAGAACAGGGCAGTGTCTGCCTCTGATTGGATGAGCCCAGCTCTGGCAAAGGTCACAGGCTTCTGGCAGGAGATACTGTAAATATCAACCAAAGATTCTGGATGGCCCCATGGTCAAACTGGACAGAAGGTCAAAGCTGGAAGGGTCTTCTTGTCACAGGAAGGCAGGCAAACCAGACAACACAAGGGACATGCACATGTGACTTAGCCATGACATGCAAGCCCTCTCAATCCCATGCTACTGCCTCTCCCCAGCTAAGCATTTTGGTGGCCAGGAGAGGAGGACGAGGAGTGAAATTGGTTCCAATCACCAGACAACACTGTGGTTTCCCCTATTGCCCCCTGACCGGCCTGGGGCCCAGGAAGCTCATCTAGGAGCTGGGTTCCCCAAATGATGAAAGCCTGAAACTTCATTTTTTTGCCATGCTTAAAAAAAACCAAAACGTGTTTCTGTGAGATAGACAGTTGCTGTCCCTTCAGGCAATGAACCTAAAGTACATACCCTCTTCCCTGAATATTCAACAGGGATGCACACACCTGTCCAAAGCTTTTTAGGTATATAAAGTACTTTGATGTTGATTGCCAAAACTTCCATTTTATACATGAAAAAACTAATGTTTTTCGAGAGTTAAGAGAGGTTAAGAGACTTGCCAAATGACACACTACACAGGGCTCATGAGCGAAAGAGCCAAGGTTCAAGCTGTTCAAATCCTCTGCTCTTTCTGCTGCCACCTACTGGGTCTTTCAGTGACAGGCTAGAAGAAGGCAGGGGCTCCCTGTCTGCCCCAAGCAGAGGAAACTTTATGGAGGCCTGGGAAGCTCAGTGCTCTCACAGGAGCAGATTTTTATGAATTTCTGCTTTGAACCAAAATCTGTGATAGGCCCTGGGAACCCAGAGGTGTATCCAGCTGGTAGCACAGAAAGGATGAGAATTTGGATCACACGGCTAACTTGAAAAAAGCACTTTGCAGTCACAGTGCCCAGGACTGAAGACATGTTCAAGGATAGCTCCAGGCACCTTTTTCTATTGAAAGACCCATGTCTCTCGGAAACCTGCAGCACCCTGGCTTTGTGACCCCTGAAAGCCTGCCCACTATCCAGATCCAGCAAGTTGGCACTTCTAGGGGGCCTGCCATAGCCCTGAATAGCCAAAAACAGATCTTGTCTGGAGTCCTGGGCTTGCTTTTTCATGGGTGAGACCAGGAGCAAGCACCAAATGAGTAGGCTCTGTACATCCTAGTCCTTTCCCTTGCCACCCAAATTTTTCCAAATTTTGAGGTAACCTCCTTCCAGAAATCTGAAGGTGTTTTGGAGGGCTTGGTTTGTCTAAATGGACTTCAAAAATGAACCACGTGAGACAGGATGAGCCCCTTGGTCACCAATTTCTTGTATACTGTATATAGACTGGACGTGTCCTTGCTGACTGAGCAAGACCAGCATATCAAATTCTTTGAGTCTGCTCTTTTGCCAGAGGGCACAGGCTTCACTGTGGGTGTCATCACCACCACCTCTGGTCTTCGTCACCATACAGTGACTCTAAAGTGGAGTGGAGTGAGGTACATGCAAGCTCTGCTTTTCTGCCCCATATCAACATGTCACCACTGGTTGTGCAGCCCCTAGCTTCTTGTCATCTTGGGATTCCAGAATGGGTAAAGCAGGCCTGGTGCTGGTGTGCAAGCCCCACCCACCGCTGAAAGCCAGGGTCTGTGGGGAAACCCAGCTACTCTAACTGGGCAGATTCCACATCCGAGCCTCTAAGCGCTTGTGCTTCTGTTGGGTGTGCCAGGCTAGCTTCAGGATGTGTCCTGTACCCATCCATGTCCCCACTCCTAGAAAACGCTTCTGAAATTCAACATTACATGATTCCAGGACCCAGCCTTCAAAATTCCTGGCAGGCTAGCTTCAACATTCCATGGCCTGCCTTGCCTGGGCCACACTTGGGTCTCAGTCCTTCAGTTTCTCCCGTGGGTATTTCCTATCTTGCGTGTTGTTGAGTCCAGCCCGGCAGCCAGCCAAGGAGCACAGGAGATGAGACTGGCCGCCACAGGGCCAGGGAGGGACACAACAGCCCCCGCTTCACTGTGGCTGCACCGATAATCCCTAGGTGTCCTTGCTGTGGCAGTCCCTTTACCCATTCCAGCCCCCAGAGGGGGAATTTTTCTTCCTGAACAGAACAGAGGTAACAGCTTGGCAGATAAGTACCAGCTCATGGAAATCAAATAGGTGAAATCAGCTTTGGGCTGACCCCAGCAAGATGAGCATCCTCCAGGTTCCGACCGCTCATGCCTGAGAGTCACGGAAAGAGTGAGACTGGCCCAGAGGTCTCCTCGGGTCAGCCAGGTTGCCCAAATCTGTGTGGTGGCTCAAGCTCCTCTTAGCCAAGGGGAGGCAAGGCTATGCCTAGCACCTTGGAGTTGTCTGTGATGATCTTAAAAGGCCCGGACCAGTGTCAGTCCCCTTCCTGACTTCAAGGCATCTGGATCCCTTTCATATCATGACAGAGAAGCCTGTTCTCATGGCATGTAATCCCTGTGAAGAGAGCGTTGTATATGATTTTGTATTTTTTAATTCATTTTAATCTACAGGTTGGAATCTAATTTTTAAATTTTATTGGAACTCACATTTTAAAAACAAATAAAAACATTTAAAATAATCATAATAATAAAAAACTTTTGACCAGTGTCTTCCAAGTAGTTTGATCAAAGAGTTATAGGTGTTTTCAAAACACAACGTGGAGTGTAAAGATTGGAAAGCCCACCGGCCTCGCTTGTGCGCGTATGAAGTGTAAATCTGGTTTTGTTTCGTTGTTTTGGATTCCTTTGGGTTTTGTTTTGTTTTGTTTTGAAGATCAGATAGTGATCATTCTGAAAGATTGAAGCCAAGAGTTTGTAACTATGATATTTACTGTAAACTGTAGAACATTCAATAACTATTAAAAAAGTTTCCAAAAAAAAAAAAAAAAACAAAGTCCTAGGTGACCAGACTGAGTGGTTCTTGGGGGAGGGAGGCACAAAAACCCACCCCCAGCCAGTGAATTCCCTGGGCTTCTCCCCAAGGTGATTCACAGTGAAGGAATGCACGCCTGCACAGCAGGCCCAACAGTGCCCTCAGCCACTCTCAATTGACAGGGAGCTGTGCAGTGGCGACTTTAGCACCTGGAATAAGTTATGTGACTGGAGCTCGGTGAGGCCATTAATTGCTGACATCTGCAGGGCTGGGGTGTAGCTCTGTAGTGGAGTGTGCGTAGCATGCATGAGGGCTGAGTTTGATGCCCAGCACCCGCCCTTGCCAAAAAATCTGTGGAGTGCCTCCTCTGTGGCTGGTGCTTGCCACTCTACACAGTCTTCACAGCTGACGGTGAGGCAAGTCCTATCCCTGTCTTAAAAGGGGAAGCCATGGAGGGTAAATGCACTTACAGAGCTGGTGAGGGGCGGAGTTGGAACTCATGCTGGGTCTGGCTCCAGAACCCAGACACCAAGGCTCACATTCTCCTGCCCATCCCAGAAGGGAGCTTTTTAAAGGGTGGATTTATCAGATGGGAACCAAGAAGGCTTTGTGGTTTGTAGCTACAGGACAGTTGACAGAGTGCACATGATCTATCCAAGCAGTCATCAGGTCAGTTTTACCTTCAAAACATCTGAATCTCTTTTCCCCTTTCTGGGTGATGATACTGCCCTAGGGCAGGCCCAGGCTTCTCTCCCTGGACCACTGGGCCTTTCCAGGGCTTGATCAAGATAATTTATTCTCCACATGCTAGCATCCACACCTCTAAGAATGCAACCTTTACAAATGGAGGAAGAAAACAGGCCCATTAGAGTGATCACTTAGACTAAAACCAAGCATTTGTGTCTATGCTATTTATTATAAGCTGTGTAACATTCAATAGTATGCGAGGCCCTGGGTTCAGTTTTGGGGTGGGGAGGGGGAGGCAACCAGACTTTGTTCTCTCCAGTGCTTTCCATCAAACATCCCACACTCCCATGGCACTCCCCAGTGTCCCTTTCTGTCCTTGACTTAGCTTGAAAACCAGTGGCTGGGGAAGGCACCTCTGGCCACTAGTATTGCTGTATCACAGCACTCAGATTCTCCAGGGCAGGACGGGATTTCTTGGGCACTCAACTCCAGGTCATAGTGGCAGAGCTGAGGCCAGGATCAGGCAGGGAAGTTGAGACCTGGGCCCCAACCTCCACCATTCTGGGGAGGAGGTGCACACTTGTAATCCCAGCCACTTGAGAAGGTGAGTCAGGAGGCATGCAAGTTTGAGGCCAGTCTCAGCAACTTAGGGAAATGCGCTCTCAAAAAAAAAAAAAAGGGCGGGGGATTGGTTCAGTGGTTAAGTGCCCCTGGGTTCAATCCCTAGTACCAAAAAAAAAAAAAAGAACTAAGAGGGTTGCAGGGACTTGAAGTGAGGAGCCAGGAAAACTTCCGGAAGTGGGAGCTGGAGCCCAGGAGCATCAGGCACACCCCTACATACCCCTTAGCTCTTCATCCCACTCTTGAAGAACTACCCTCAACCCCAAGAGACAAGCCACTCCTCTCAGTAAGCAGGAGGCTGGGCGGGCAGGGGAGCACAGTACTCCCCTGTGATATGGGTGTCCCTAACACCCTGGGGAGCCTGGACACGGTGTCGGTCTGTACCCTGGCTGGCATCTATAGATGCCTGTGGTGGGAAAGGACATCAAAAGACCACAGTGCAGCCTTCCCCTGGGGAAGGAAGCCAAAGCAGGAGAATGGGTCCATTTTCTCATCCTCACGTACCCCCAGAGTGGGCCATGTGTTACCCAAGCCCTAGGTCAAAAGGGGTAGTTGGCTGGCTGAGGGGACAATCAAGTTCGAGAATCTGAACAGCTGGCAAGTAGAAATGCCAAGTGCACCCTGCAGCCCCAGGGAACATTTCCTTTGGTTCACTGGTTACATCGGCTAGTCATCTATCCTGCCCTAGATTGTGATTGGCAACCTTTGCTGTCCCCCAAAAATTTCCTTCTGCTGTCCATCATTCCTGTCTCCTTCCTTCCTATCCTAGTACAGGTGAAACCTTGTCTGCCGCTTCCTCAGGAGCACCCCATCCCTTTCCTTCTCAACTGAGAAGCCCCAGAGAGAAGCCTGTGCCCTGGTAGCTGGGGAGAAGCCAGGGGAAGTGGAATCTCAAAGCATATCTGCCCATTTTGTTGAGGGTGGGAGTTTTTGTCTGAGGCCACCAGGCCCCCGCCTTGGCTTCTGCCTAGAAGCCTCTGCCCTCTGTGAAGCCAGGATTCCTGCAGCACCAGCCTGGTCATTTATGCCTGCTTCACAAGAGGCCCAATTCATGCAGGCTGGTCCTCTCCACACCTCCCTGGTTCCATTCAGGGTCTCTTTCTAGCTCCTCAGCCTCTCCAGGGGTAGGTCAGTAGTGTTTACTGTGTCATCCTCTTTCGTTCTGTTTTGCTCTGGGATATTGGATTGACTCTAGAGCCTCTTGCATGTGAGGGCAGTGTTCTACCGCTGAGCTACATCCTTAGCCCTTTTTATTTTGAGATGGTCTCACCAAGTTGCCCAGGCTGGCCTTGAACTTTTGATCATCCTGCCTTAACCTCGAGTAGCTGGGGTTACAGGCATGCGCCACAGTCCCTGGCTACTTCTTCCCATCTTCTGACAGAATAACAAACACCAATGAATTCCCAACTTGACTAAAAACAATCTGTCCCAGAACCTAAGGCCTCACTAGCCATGGCCTGACACAGCCAGGCTTCTGCATGGAGCTGTCTCTCTCAGTCCACTTGGACCTGGCCTTGCTCCACTGCTCCCCTGAGAGGACTCCCTCTAAATCCATGTCTACTCAGGCAGCATCAGCTGGCCCATCAGCAGCACCTGGCCTTGTAGCCCATCCTCTTCTCCACCCCCTTGCCCTCTCCCAGCTGCCAGGACACTGTCCTCTCCTGATTTTCTGCCTGCTGGTTCTTTCTCTGCCAGGCCCTGGAGCAGTCCCAGGATCTGCTCTGGGCCCTTTCCCTGAGACATGTCCCAGCTCAGACCTGGCATAAATGTTCATCTATGTGATTTTCTTGTCAACCAGGTCTGTCTCTTTAAAGCTCCAGACTTCCATGTCCAGATGCCATTAGGACACCTGTCAGGGCTGTCATAGGTGCCTCCAGGACTGCTCTTGCCCCACCCAGCTGGCCCTAATCCCTTGCCCCACATCCCTTTAAGGAGCCCTCGCAGGTCTGCCCTAGGAGTCCCGTGGCTCCAGCTGTTCCTCTCCATCATCTCTTGCCTGGACAGCTGCAAAGGCTCCTTCAAGGTACCCCTGCTTCCACTGACCCTGCACTCTGCACACTGTGGCCAAGAGGGTCAGGCTCCTCTAATGGGTCAAGCTCCTCTCCTTCATGTTTTGGTGGCCAGTTTCCATTTGGCCTTTGTGCTGTTCCCTCTCCATGGAACTGTCTCCCCTTTCCACACTCCAGCTCCCAGTGTCTCCCTCATCCCCATTCATCTCCAGGCTCCACGCCACTGCTTCCTTTAGCGCTGTGCTGTCCAATAGGATGATCATTTGCCTCATGTGGCTCTTGAGCCCTTGAAATATGCTAGTTCATATTAAGATGTGTAAAATATATAACACACTGAAAAGCAAAAAAAAAAAACCTCATTCATAATTTTTACATTGATTTTATATTGCATTGAAAATATTTTGGATATACTGAGTTTAAAAGTATTGATAATTATTAAAATTAAATCCACCTATTTTTACTTTTTGGAATGGTTATTAGAAATTTGAATCCCATACGTGGCTCACACTGTTTTTCTGTTGGACAGCCCTCTAGGGGCCTTCGTGGGAACCAGGTGAAGTTAGGGGCCTCCCCGGCCCATATTCCCCCACCGCTGAGGTGTTGTGAGGGGAGGGACCGCCTGTCCAGCACATGGAGCCCAACACAGTAGGGCTGAGGAGGTATGTGTTGAACAGACAGATGACCTCGGGAAGGGGCACAAGGAAAAAAAGGTCCTCATACACCACTTTCCCACCTTTTATTCTTCGACAAGTGGATGGGGATGGAGATGCAAAGGTAGGACAACAGCAAGTTTTAATAAATAAGAGAAACGGGGACAGGCAGTGGGCCTGCGCCTGCACGGCCCCACATAAATAACGAGGTGGCTGAGCCCGAGTGGAGACAGACAGGGCTGGGCCAGCAGTCACCTGCGCTGTCCAGGGCTGGGGGCAGACATGCTGCACCACAGGGACACAGAAACCACTGATGCCAGAAGTGCTCTTCAGCCCAGCCAGTGGTCCTCTCCCTGAAGTTCCAGAGATCTGGGGGGTGGCAGGGTGGGCTGGGGCTCTGCACTTCAGCTTCACCCAGGTCAAGTCATTTTTCAGTTTCATTAAAAACAGCGAAGTAGGGCAGGCACATGCAGTAAACCTCTTCTGTAGGCAGAGCTGTGGATGGGCAGCCCCATGGGGGCCTTGAAGGCAAAGGCCCCGGAAGCAGCAAAAATGGGCCAGATAAAGCTACTAATGGGAGAGGTGGCAGAGTCAAGCACCCCCTCCACAGGACCCATCCCAGAACCTCCAAGGAGCTGGAGAGGTCCTGGGCACTGAGGCGTGATTCTCTCCTATTTCACAGATAAACTGGGACCAGGGATGTGCCCAGGATTAGATCCCAGGAACTTGGCCTCCCAGCCCAGGGCTTTTATATTGCCCCTTCCTTTTACAGAACCTGCTAGAAAAGGAGGAAGAAACACATCTGCTCTAGGGCCCGGTACAGGGGCAGGGTAGCTAGTCACCAAAGTGTGGGACTGGGGCACCAAGTACAGGCGCCACCTCTCTGCCAAGCCTAGACCTCTGGTGGTACAGAGAACTCTCGGCTCCTAGGATGTGGCCAGGGCAGGCACAGGGTTAGGGCATCCTGCAGGGGAGAAACTGGGGCAGCAGGGTCAGGGGCCAGGCTCTCAATCTGCTCCTGCACACAGTGCCCGCCAACTGCCTGCCTCCTCACTGGGGCGGACGGTCCCACCTCCAGGCCTTGGCCTTTGCTGTTTTGCCTGCTGGGCCATCGCTTCTTGGTCCTCACAGTCCCAGCTGTAGCTCTTCCTCATCCAGGAAGCCTTCAGACCCTCCCAAGGCAGGTTTGAGTGTCCTCAGAGTAGGCAGCCCCTCAGATAACCAGGTTGCTCTCACTTAGCCGGACCACATAGCGGTTCTCCTGGGAGACAGGGATGAAAGGCCAAAGCTGATTCAAGGGGCTTCCGGGCGCTGGGTGAATGGCTCCTTTCCAGGGACCCTGCACTTGTGCCCCTGTCCTGGAGCCCCAGGTACTCACAACCCTTCTCCAGCTCTCACCTCAGCTTTGTTCTCTGCTGGGGGCTTCAACCACTTCGTATGGCTCCCACCACTTCCCAGCAGTGCTTGCTGCTCTGGCAGGAGGCCAGGTTGTGGGGAGTCGGGGAGATCACCCCCCGAAGGCCCAGCCTCTGTGATGGTCTTCACCTCAGATGCTGCTGAACTCGTCCGCTGCTCAGGAATTCGAGCCACACGGAACCTGGGAGAAGAGGTGGTGTGACACTCTGGGTGCAGAGTTTGATTTCAGGGTCAAACCTGTGCCTGAGCATCTTCCCAGGCCCTCCATAGATAAGGCTTCCCTCCGCTGTTTGTACCTAGCCCAGCACCCCACCTCTAGGTGGCAGGTAGACACCCTTGGCCTCAGAGGCCCCAGATGCCACAGGGGCCAACACATGCCCTGAGAACCCAAGGGCTCCATGTGAGATGTTGCACAGCTGGGAAATCCTGATTTCTCTCTGCCACCCACCCTACTAGAGAGGCCCACAAAGGGTAGGGCCACCACTGAGCAGAGTACCCAGGGTTTAATCTAGGACCCTGCCTCCACTCAAGGCTGTCATATCTCTCCATCACCCTGGTGCAACTGTGCCAACCTCACCTGCCCACAGACAAGATGGTGATCTCGCCCTGACGTCCTGTCTTGGCCCCAGCCTTGGAAGCCCTGGCTGGGTTGGACAGAAGGCTGGGAGCAGGAGTAGTAGCAGCTGCAGCCTCAGGGGACAGCAGTACCTCGGGCCACTTCTTCTGGCTACAACGGGAGCAGCAGGGGCCAGAGAGTGAAGCTAGGCCCTGCACGGTGTGGAGGTGGTGGCGATGAGGGCAGACGTGTGGCATACTGGGGGAGGCCGGCGGCAGCCTACAGAAGGGAACGGGTAGGAGCACTCATCAGGGCAGCCCAGGCTTAGGGCCAGAAGACCCAAGCAGGTAGAGAAGGGGTAGAGGCAGCATGTGAGGGAAGAGACCCAATCGGTAGCCCCCAGGAGGCAGGCTGATTATCTGAAGGCCCTGCCCCCCTCACCTGGGCACAGGCCTGTGGCTTGTCTGCACCAGCTGTTTGCTGTGGTATTCTTTCAGCAGCTCCTCCAGGGCCGCCGCATTCTCTGTGGGCAGCTATGGTCAGAACCCAGCTCCAACCGTAAGGGGTGCCCCCAAGCCCCAGCAGAGCCCCCTACCTACCCACCACACATACCCAAGCTGGGCTCTGCACCTTTTCCTCCACCCCTCATCAATCAAGACCAGAGACACGGGGGAGCACGGCATCTGTCTGAAGCACCCAGGCGGGGAGGGCAGAGCAGGGCAGTACAGTGACCTTACACCGCCTCATAGGCTCCAGGAAGAGACACTCCTCTCCTGGGCACCGGGATGGGTCAGACTGTGTCCTTACCTTTCTTCTCTGTGATCAGACGCACCAGGACCCCAATGGTGTCCTCATTGGCATCCTCAGTCCTATAGGCAGGGTTGAGCCCTGGGAAAGAGAAGAAAAAGACCTTGATCCCAGGAAGCTGGACACCCAAGCTACACCAGGATCAGCCAGCAGAGGGCACCCTGGGCCTTGAAGCCAGAGCTGAGCTTGGTTAAGGTGACAGTAGATGACAGAAGTATCCCAGGGCTGTGCACCTGTGGGCTCTCGGCCTCGGCTATGGCTCAAAGTAGCCCACCATCGCCGTTACTACTGAACATTCACTCCTTCTGTACCAGCAGCCCCAGGTACTCAGATTTCGGGGCCATCTGAGCTGCACATCTCTGCAGAATGCGGGTGAGGGGCTGTATTGGCCTTCTCTGGGTCGCACTGCCTCTCTGCAGTGGATCCTTCTTGCCCAGAACTCCCAACGTCTACCACAAACTCTGCCCCTCCAGGCCCATTACTTCCTGCATACCTCCCTGTCCGTGGCACTGTTTAACTGAGGTCCTTGGTTAGCTTTGGGCCCAGACCTCAAGGGTGTGGGAATGGGCCAACATGATCAATCCCAAACCCAGCAGCAAAGAAAGCTCCTAGGCAGCAGCCAGAGGTTAAAGGAAGTCACTAAGCTAGGAAAACAAGTGTAGTCCCAGGCAAAATGGCCCTCAGTCGCCACCTTCCTGCCTGCCTTCCCGCCCCCTCCAGACTTTAGTGTCAGGAGTTAGAAGGGGCTTTGGCCAGCCCCAGGCAGTCTGGGACACTGGCATGGGAGGTGCTATTTCACTCTTGACTTGGCCAGAGGCCCAAGGGTGGCGTATATGGAAGTGGTGCCCCTGTCCTTCAGAAGGCATTGGCCTAAGATAGGGGAGAGAGGAGACCCAGGCCCTGGGGTAGGGGTGGGAGAATGTGCCTCTTCCTCTTTCCAGAACTTGTAATTCAAACCACAGCCGCAGTTGTAACCTGAGCTCCTTGTGGTGTCTGCCCAGGACAACTGCCCCCTTCCCACTGGACATTCCTCCAGCTACAGGCCAGAGGTCAAAGGTCACTTTGAGTACTTAAAAGGTCATCGACCCTGGAACCACACACACAATTACAGCCTATAGACCCGCCCCCCCCACCCCCCAGGAATCCAGACCTCCACAGCTGGGCCCCGCTCAACGAAAAACCACCACTTGACCAGCTCTGCTGGTTCTGCCCCTGTCACCGTTCCTGGACCCTCACCTTCCTCCCAGCAGCAGCACCTCTGTAGGCGTCTCCCCTGAGGCTGGCGCGCACCACCTCCAGGAGGCCCTCCCAGTTGGCCCTCCACAGGCCTCTCCTTGCCAGAGCCCTCAAGGCCAGGGAGGTTCCCTCTGGTGGCCCCCAAGTTCCCTGTCTCCCACCTGGACCCCAAGCTCGGCCTCACCACTGCCTCCACCTCCAGGGCCGGGCCCGACCTCTTTGTGCGCCGTGCAGTGATAGCCCTTCCGCTTGAGCAGGTTGCACACCAGGATGCCCAGGAGCCCCATGAGGCAGAAGATGGGCACAATGGCAATGACCGCATACTGAGCAGCCGTCTCCTCAGGGCCACCAGCCCGCGTGCCGTTCCCCGGCTGCTGAGTCTCACCACCGCCACTGGACCCCGCTGCCACCTCCACGCCACGTCGGGCCCGCCGCCCCCACTCTGAGCACAAGATGGAGGCAGAGGAAAACACAGAGAGGCAGAGAGGCCCAGGGCCCAAGTTAGTGTGGGTGGGGTGGAGGGAGGACTGATGGTCCAGGGCAGCCCACGCCCCACCATACTGGGGAGGCAAAGGCCAGCTCAACCCTGCCTTTCTTCCGTTTTTGGCCAGCCAAACAGGGGTCCTGAAACAGGCTTCCTCGGGCCTCAGGATGGGCAGCCCCCCGGCACCCCCATCACCCCTCATGCTGGGTGAGGAGTGAACACATAGCAATGTGGCACATGCCTAGGCACGGGGACGCGGAATCCTGCCTCCCTAAGGCAGGCCCTGTGAATGAGTCACCTGAGAGGGTGACTGGCTCAGCAGTGTGAGGTGTGTCCATGTGTTTATGTGTGTGGACACACCAGTGCTCACATTCACTTGCAGGGTCTCATGGAGAGGACAGGCATGGGAGACTGGTCAGGATGTGAACCTCCTAAGCCCCTAATTGTGGCCTCCACCCACTGTATGGTTTCTGCCACTCAGAAGTAAAGGGAGGTGACTGGCCACATTCTGCTGGGCTCCCCCTGGCTGGCTGTCCTCCCAGGGGCTGAGAGGACCCCAGTGCCCCACATGGACAATCTGGGGCTCCTGGGCTCAAGCTCCTGCACCCATTCCTCACACACCTCCAATCTGCCACTCACCATTACAGCCAGGAGTGTTCAGAGATGCCCAGGAACATGGTTGACATGGAATGTGGGGAACCCCCCGAGGCCCAATCCACCTGCAGGGAGAGATATCACTGAGGTCCAGAAGTTTCCCCCAAAACTGTCCGTAGGCTGGATTCCTTCCTATCAGTCACCCTCAATGGTCTTGTTCCATCCCATTTCACAGATGGGAAGACTAAGGTCTATGTAGGGTGGAAATAGGCTGGAACTCCAGGATCCATAGTCCTGGCCTCTTAGGCATGAGCTCCCACCATCCACCCCTTGCTCACCCAGGCTGGCAGCCTCCACATAGTGTATCCTGGGTTGCAGTGCCAGCCCGGACCTCCAGCCTCCTTCGAAGGCTGCAGCGGTCATGAGGCTGGCATGGGCTGGAGCCCCAGGAGATGGAGAAGGTGCCTGAGGGGCAGGACCTGCATAATGTGCCCTGACCCTGGTCCTGTAGGAAACAAAGGGTGAGAAGGAGGCCAGGAGTCAGGCCTGAGGTCCCTGGGGAAGCCAGGCCTGGGACCCCGCCCCTTGCCCTAAGATGTCTTCCGAGGACAGGGCAGATGTGCAGCTCAATGCTCACCAGATCGGGCTCCTCCCCAGGTGGGCACTGCCAAGGGGTTGTTGGTGTTGCAGTGGCCAGAGGCCAGGGCAGCAGCTGGAAGCAAAGCAAACAGGAGCATATTGAGGGAGGGAAGGAGAGAGTACTGGGCACGGGGTCTCTAGGGTCATCTGAGCCCATAGGAGTGGAGATCGCTGACCACATAGGGCCATCCCACCCAGGCTTCTTGGACACTCTTCTAACCTTGATCCCTCACACTGCAAGGAAAACCTGCCCTGTCCCAGACCTGCTTCATTACCAGTGCCTGAGTAGGGAGAAAAAATCACATCTGCTTCGGGAAAGTTCTGGAAAGCCCCAGACAGGGGATCAGGACCTCAAGCCCTTGGATCTCTGAATTACACCCCTTCCAGCTAACAAGACCAATGAGGAGGAGGAAATGCTTCCGAATTCCTCTCTGTTTCTGTCCCTCTTCCTGCTGCAACCCCTGCCCCCCAATCACAGCTGGACATGTCATTAGCCTGCCTCTGTTTATCATTCCTGGAGCCAATTTTGCAGCTGGTGCTTACTATTCTGGGCCCTGGGCTGAGTGTCTGAGACCACATCTTCCTCTGTGACCTCCCCCTGTGGCAAGGCCACTCCATTCACCCAGGCACCCAAACAGAGGATGGCACATTCAAAGGAAGGGTGTCCCAGCGCCTCCCACGGGGAGCTCCCACTGCCTCCCACTTTCAGGTGTGAACCATCTGGCCTCAACTCCTGCTGTGGGGAGACCATGTCCGTCATTTTAGTCCAACACTGATTTGGGGGTACGAGGCATAGAGCAGAGCCAGCTCCCTTGGAGGCAAAATGTCACAGAGGCTCTGGGGATCTCCTCAGGCTCCAGACCTGGCTCCGGCACCTGCTTGAGGCCAGGTATCACACTCAGGAATTCCAGGCTCAGAAAGAAAGACGACTCCAAACCAGACGCCAAGACCTGTCTGGGGCCAAGTCTGGCTGGATTCTCTCATTTCCAACACAGATCTCAACTCCAGCATCTGAGGTGCCCCAAATCCCAGGCGTCTTTGGCCCAATTTCCTCAGGTTCCCACTACTGGCCACTGTTCCCACACCGGCTGCTGACAGGCACCTGCCCTTAGCCACCGGGCCTTGCCTACAAATGCAAGTCCTTCCTTCTCCTCCCCCTGCCCCCTGCAGCCTGGGTAGGCATGGTCTGCGAAAGCAGTGTCTTCTGCCTGGGTAGGGGAAGCCATGGCCTTCCCTCCTGGGTCACCATTTCATGCCAGGGTGGGTCAGGATAGGCTACCTGGGGTTGGACAGCCCCAAATGCTTCCCAGGAAGAGCTGAATATTCAAGCCTCGTCCCAGCATGGGGTTCCTGAGCAGGCTCACTCCCTCCTCCCTGGAGCTCCTCCCCAGCCCGTCCCACTCACCACGAGGAGGCAGGACAGGGGCCAGCACAGTCCGCTCAGCTTCATCATCAGACCCTGCGGTGATCTCTGGCCTAGGGTAGATGGAGGGAAGACTCAGGGGCCAGCCGGGATAGAAAGGCAGCTGCTATCCCCCCAGGCACTTCAGAATGACAGGCTTTCACAAGGAGTTGGGAGGGTGCCCTAGATCCCCACCCAGGTCCAGTCTGAGCAGAGGTGGGCTGCACCGGGCAGGGCCAGCCTCACTGGAAGAACAGAGGGCCCTGCAGGCTGGGGAGGCTTCCCAGAGGAGGAAGGGCTTCCTTCCCCTTCCATAAACAGCCAGGTGCCCTGCGGCATCGCAGGGGAGCACAGGAGGAAGGAAGCGTGGGGAGGCCACGCCAGGCAGAGAAGGCTGCAGCCCTCAGCCTCGGCCTCTGCAGCTTCCAGGCTCCTGCCAACCGCAGCCCACAGGCCCACGGCCTCCTGCCTCACGTTCCTCTGCCTCCACTCTCACTGGTTCTGCTCTAAGGAAGGCCCTGTCCCCACCTTTCAAACACTTTTCTTTCTGGAAGCTTCTCTAGAAGTTTTCCCCAAAGCTGAGTCTGGCTCCTATAACTCCTGTGCCTCACTCCATCACAGGCCTGGAACCTTCTCATGGTCACTGTCCACGTGTCCCTAGGGAGGGCCAGGACATGTCTACTTACATCTCTGCCTGCCTGGCTGCTGCAGGGGACCTGAAGGGGTAGGTGGCCATGGCAGCAGAGTTCAGCCTCTCTTCCTCTCTCCCCCATGGGCCAGCCACTGCCCTCACCGGGGAAATAGGACCCTGTCCTCAAGGATCCCCATCCCCGGGGACCCCATACTGCAGAGATTGAGAGAGTGGTTCCCCTGCCAGTCAGTGGGAAGTGCCAAAAAACAAAACAAAGCAACGTCAGTGGTGCTGCCCAGCCCCCTGGCCAGCCAAGACTGAGGCCCCAGGGCCAGACTGCGGCTGCCTCTGGAGACGCCCCCAGCCAGTGGACAAGTTGGAACAACAGGATTCAGGATTCAAATTACACAACTGAAGGGACTGTTGCTGAATGAGGAAGCTCCAGGGTGTGCCCCAGAGGCCTGCTTTCAGGGTTGTAAAGGTGATAGAAACAGTGTTCATGGGACCTGGACACAGGCCATGTGCAGCCTCTGAGGTCCAAGGATGGCTCATGGGACTTAGAGAGCCCAGCCACTGTCCTAGGGCACTGGCAGGCAGAGGAGCCCCAACCTATGTGATGCCAACCCTCCGGGAGACACACTGCCTGTGGCAAGTTCCAGGTCACACGGAAGACCCTCTCCCTGTAGGCAGCCCGGGCTTCCCGCCTGGAAAAGGAGCCCAGGAAACTGATCCACCCGCCTGACCTGGCCAGGCACAGACCTCGCAGGGACAGGGGTTTGTGTTACACCCAGGGGAGGGGGAGGGGAGTGGTCACATCATCCTTGGGACTCTCCAGGTCACTGGCAGCCAGCCACTCTTGGCCCTAGGCCAGGTAAGGGGAAAACCAGGGACAAGGAAGCCCAGGCCACAGGGTAGGTGAAGGCTGAATCTGGCAGCCAACACTCAACAGACAGAGCCCCCTGACTCATCTCCCGACCTGCCCGCCTCAAATCTGGTCACATGTCTTCCTTTCAGGGTCTGCCTCACAGCGTCCCTTCCCCCTACCCTGCTCTGCCAAACTCCCCGCTCAATCCCATCTCCTCGTACCCCCTCCCGGTCCTTCCAGGGATCAACCCGCAGACCTAATCACAAGCCCAAGTCCTCAGGCTGTCCCCACAGCCCGCCCCTAGTCCCAGCACCTTCATGTCCCCAGATGGGCCTATAAGGCTGGGGCAGGGGATGAAAAGAAAGAAGCAAAATAACTGCAGAGTAGAGAGCCCCAGAGCCACCCCCGACCCTGGGTGGCACCCACTGGGTGACCTGAGCGCGCGAGGAGCCAGTGTACAGATGCTCATCTGCAGAAAGGCGTGGAGCTGCGCAATGCGGAGACTTCCAGGAGGAAAGCAAGTGTCCAGAGGCCCAGCCTCCAAGCCAGAGAGGGCCCACTCAGGCACATGCACAGACATCCGCCGCCTGCTGCCCTCGTGCCTTCTAATTACACTCCCTCTAATTACCCCAACCCGGCACTTACTCCAGTCTGGCTGCCCTGGCCCCCACACTCAGCCCAGTCTGAGTCCCAGCTGGACCTGCCTGGTCAGGCAGAAAAGCCCTTATGCACACGTGTGCACACCTGCTGCTCAGGGGCCCCAACCTCCACCCCAGGTCTCCAGCACAGAGCCCTGGAACCATGACCAGAGAGCAAGTTCAGAGAGAAGCCCCACCGCTGGGAGGCTGGGAGGGGGTCCGTGAAGGCCTCATCCCTACCACTCTGCTTTATCCAGAAGGCCACGAAGTTCCAGCATCTCCTGAGGGCTTCCTGAAGCACAGCTGTCAGAGATGGAGAGACTGAGGCCCAGGGAGGGCAGGGAAGGTCCCCGGAGCCCTCTCTCCAGCTCCATGTGCCTGAGAGAGAACCCCCCAGCCACACTGGGCAGGGGAAGAGGAGACCCAAGGGTTTTAGCAGAGAAGGAAGTTAGCTCAGAAGCCACTCTTCCCCCAAGTCTCCTAGCCTGGGGCCTGTCCCTACTGCCACCAACCCCTTATAGGACCTAAGCCCCTCACTTCTCAGGGCTCAGTCTCTTCATCTGCAAGATGGGCATGTTTATCTCCCATGGGAAAGCTGTCAGGAGACCTGTGAGGTAATCTGCCCTAAAGTGGGTCACGCGGTTTCCTTCCAGCCGCCCCTCCCCCACCCCTGTGCAGGTTTGTCGTTGGTCTCGGCTGCTTACTTGCCTGCACCCCCGCCAGACAGCAGGAGGGCACAGATGTCTGCTTTATTCACCACAAAGCCCAGTACCCAGCCCCAGGCTAGAAGCAGGAGGCCTCTAACACACAGGCTCAGGTCAGAAAGGTTTCCTCCTCCCCGACCCTCCAGAAAAATGCCCCAACAATTAGAACCAGAAATTCCCTGGATAAAAGCCAGCCCGCATCGCCATGACAGGGCCCCAGACTGCAGAGAGGCTGGAGGTAGCAGAGCCCCAGAGAGGAGCAGCCTGGAGGCCTCAGAGAAAGAGGAAGCTGTGGCAGCTTCCCCTTTCCCAGAACTGAAGCCAATGGGTCACACCCCTCTGTTCCCCAGCTGGGCCCTCCCCTCTGGTACACTCCCCAGTCTCCCTGGGCCTCAGCCTGACCCTTTGGCCCCCTCACCCAACAGCCTAGATGTTCCGTCATGGAGCCTGGCCCTATGCGCCAGCTCCCGCCACCCTCAGAATGGCGTCCTGACGCACCCCTGCCAACCCTTACACATCCGCATGCTCCAGCCACTTCGACCTTCTTCCCAAGACACACAAGACACAGTTACCTGCCATTTCCTCTGCCCAGAAACCCCTCCCATCACTTGGCCAATACCTACTCTTCCTTCAGAGCTTAGCTCAAAGTCATTTCCTCCTGGAAGCCTCCCCCAACCACCACCTCCCCTCCGGCATTAACCACCCTGTTTACCCAGCCCCGTCCCTGCCACCAGCCGTCTTCCATGCCCAGTGCCACACTGGGTAAGTCTGCGCTGCACTCAGGATGGGAGGCAGAAAAGTACTTCTACTCTCAGTAGAAGGCGCAAGGCCCTGCTGGGGTAGTGAGGGCCCCGAAGGCTGCAGGGCAGGCAGGACAGCTGAGGCCGGACTAAGAGGAGAGGGTATGAACCTGCATCTGAAGCTCCAGGACCACCTGGGGCCACATGGTGGAGTGTGTTGTCCTGCTCTGCTCTTCACTGGCTTTGTGGCTGTGGACGCCTGCAGAGGACTGTCAGGAGAGTGAAATGAGAGGATTCACACTAATTTCTCAGTGCTGGGCTGGCACAGAGTACACCCTCCACAAGCACTCACTACTCACCGTGCCTCAGTTTCCCTCTGTGGAGGGGGAAGGGGCACATGCTTGCCACGCCAGTGTGAGCACACTGAGATTCTCCTTTTACATTTATGTTCAATGCTTGGCACACAGCCAGGTACATAGGAGGTGCCTGAGCAGCTACATGGAGCCTCTGGGGAGGGGAGGGTGTGGGAAAGGAGAGGAGGCTGGGAAGACAGATGGGCAGTGCCCAGATCACACCAGCCTCAGCTGCAACTGAGAAGCCTGCACTTTTCCCAGGAGCTATGGGAACCTTGGAGGGTTAAGCAGGGGAGGGACAGGCACGGAACAATTTGTGTCTTGCCAGGTGCACTGGACTACCTTTCAAGCGAGGGAGATGTGGGTACGAACAGGTGCCCACCAGGAGCAGGGTCGGAGGAAGGCGGGCTCTGTTTCCCAGCCCATGCTCCGAGGCCTACAGACCTCCCTCCAGCCTCCAGAGGAGAGGGTTGCCAAGGGTTGCCTAGAAACACAGCTGGACATGGGCCTCCCTCAGTGGTGGCCGCACCAGGCAGGAAGACAAAGGCTACCCATCAATAGAAAAATCCAGGTTAGCAAGGGACCCAGTGGTTCCCTGGCAACTGGGGCTGAAGTAGGGCAGTGCCCACATTGGGCGGTGCTGAGGGCAGCGAGGAACTGCCTGCTGCCCTCCTCCCCTACAGGAGAGGGGGACTGGCCCCAAGCTGGGACTGGCCCTGGCTCTGGGTCACCTCTACTCCTCACAGCAGAAGTGAGCATTTCTGTTTTACAGCTGGAGGTCAGAGAGGTCACTTGGAGGTCACACAACCAGTGTGTGACTGAAGCAGGGATGGAGCCCTGGACTGCCTCATTTCTGCCTCCCCCACCCTGAGGTTTAGCCCAGAGCCTGGCAGGTGGATGTTCTGAGTCTTTGCCAATCTGATGGCAGAGTCTAGGGAAGCAGGAACACAGTAGGTGGCTCAACTGAAGGTCTAGTACAAAGAGCCAGGCAGGCCCCAGAGTAGTTACTATCCCCGTGTGGCAGTCTCAGGGGCCTTCGGGATTTGCCTGTGCTCATATTCATTTGTGTATTGTCCCAATCTGCCAACTCTGAAAGAAAAGGGCACTGGAAACTGTAAGAAGTAGGAAGGCTGGGGAAGTCTGGGAATTCCCAGAGGGAGGAAAAGGTCCCGGAGTGTAGACCCAGTTCTTGAACTGGGGGCCCAGATGTGCAGAGGTCAGCACAGGACTCCTCAGTGAGAAGGGTGCCCCTCGACCCAGCCCTCTCCCAGCCTCAGGTAGCCAGGATCTCCAGGGCACCACCATTGAGTGAGTACCTCTCCAGCGCTGGACTCCTAATCCTGCACCCCTACACTGCCAGGCAGCAGCTGCTGCTACCTTACCAGGAGCTGGGCAGGGTTCTGCCCCTCAGACCTCCCATTGCCCCTGGGTCTGCACTTCAGCAGATCAGGTGGTGAGGTGGGCAGGTGGAGCTGAGGGGGCTAATTGGCTCCTTGAGGCTTAGGAAAGGGCTGAGGCAGCCAGATCGGGCCCACCCAGCTCCTCCCAGTCTGGGAAGGTACAGATGCAATCTCTTCCCTCCTTCCTGCCTGAGACTAGGACTAGGGGAAGGGGTGTCTGAGGCCAGACCGTCATCTCTGGGGCAGAGCTGGGGCTCCCCAAGAGCCCTCTCTCTAAGTGCCCACCACATGCCTCATAGCCTCTCTAGGTTGGGTCCCAATGAACCCCTCAGAGACAGGGTTCCATGTGGAAACTGAGGCTCAGAGAGGTTAAGAAGTAGCCTTAATAACCCAGTCTCAAAAAAGATAGGGCTTGCCTACCGTGGAGTAGGGGTGGGCAGCAGGCAGCCTTTGCCAGTGTCTCCCAGACCTGGCATCCCCACTGCCCCCACATGGCCTGTTTCTAGTTTGCCATCAACCTCTTGGTACCATGGGCCAGCCCTAGAATACCTCCCCTCTCACTCCAAAACAGGACAGCAAGGGACCCAGGAGGGACTGGAGGACACTCCCTGCAGCCCCCACTCACATTACTGCTACCTCTTCCTCCAAGAAGTTGCCTTGACCTCCCACCCTGGTCATATGCTTGGTACTGAATCACTATGCCCAAGCTTCTCCACTGTGCTCAGCATGGGCCCTTCCCATTCCCAACCTAGCTGACTTGGGCAGAGGCTTTGGGAGAGGCTGAGGGGAGACCACACCCCTCCTGACCTGTTATCCGATTCTCCCAGGCTCAGGGTGTTAGAGATAGAGGCTCCCCCTAAGGCCCTACCCAACAGAGCCTACAGTGAGAGTGTGCGTGAGAATGGAGTTAGGAGGGCGTGAGGCTGGTCTCTGGAACATTCCAACTGGGCTGAAGCTCTGGCGGTCTTGATTAGTGGATCTGTGACCTTGGCAGGTCACTTACCTCTCTGAACTTTGGGGTCCTCCTCTGCAAACAGAGGTGCCGGTCCCTGCCTCATGGGATGCTGAGGGAATAAGCAGAGCCACTGTTTAGTGCTGTTTGGAAATTACCAGTTCTCTTGAAGGCCAGAGAAGGAACCCAGGCTCAGAAACAGCCAAGGTCATCCAAAAAAACTTGGGTGCAACAAGGGTGCATTGGGGAACCCAATATAAATCCCAGCAGCATGGGTGGTGGCACCGTGGTCTCATTGAGAGGACCCCGGGTGCCCATTTCCCAGCTATCCAGGCCTGCGCCCACCTGCTTTACCAGCTGACACCATTGTCAGGAAGGTGGAGGTGCAGTGAGCAGTCAGTATGCCCACCTACCTGCCCAAGTCTCAGTTTCTCCTCTGTAATTTCGGGCAATTGTGCCTATTCAGCTAGCCTCGCTGTGTGGCGGGGGACCCGGAATTCACAGGCAAATGGTGATTCTTATAATCAGGCGGTCCAGGTGCCTTCTCCTGCAGGAAGCTCCTTGTTGGGAGGGCCTCTGGGCTATCCGTTCTCAGTCTCCTTTAACTCCTGCTAAAGTGGGGAGGCTCTCCGAAGGAGGTAAGCAGTGCACATGGGAGGCTGGGCACACTGCAGGTCCCCCTTGCTCTCACTGTTCCTTCTCACAGTATTTGCTTGGCCAAGCTTAGTCCCTCCTTCTAGAAACCCTTCTCCCTTCCCTCTCCACCATGCTCAGACCCTGCCCCTAACTGGCTGTAGAGGCCCCTCCATCCCCTCCGTCTATGCCAGCTAGCCAGGGACACTCACAGCCACACGAGCAGTTTATTTATAGAGCTCTCATCTTTCCCGGGGTGGCCCAGGAAAGAACTCTGGCCTTCAAGACTGACAGACCTGGTTTTGGATCCCAGCAACAATAGGGTCTTGCAAGGGTTTCTACTCCTCTGAGCCTCGGTTTCCATGCTTGTGCCTCGAGGATTGACACTCTCAGCATGAGGCAGAGATGGGACAGTCTGGGAGCCTTGATGGCAGGACACTGGGCACAGAGCAGGGACACAGCACTGGTTCCTCTCTCTCTGCTAGCCTAGTCCTACCCAGAAACACCAAGCCTCTGCCTACATACACAGGAGCACCGTGCACTGTGGGTGCTAGATCTACCCAGAGACCACATCCCAGGACCCATCAATCTATAGTTGGGGAGGGGGGTGGATGGGTTCTCCTGGATGATCTTAGGCAAAATCTCTCCCTTTTTGCTCCATTCTCCTACCCACTTGGAGAAGGCTAGCTCCATAACAGGCCTCCCCTTGCTAGGTGCTGAGAGCCCCACCAACATTTCCTACTCCTGCTTTGGGTAGGCCAGCCTGGTCCTTATCTGGAAGCTCATGCCGGAATTATCAGACAAGCCCCAAACCCTTGTCCCTTGCCTGGAGACCAGGCCAGAAGTTAGGCAAGAGCTGGTGTGTTAGACTAACCCTAACCCTAACCCTAACCCTAACAGGGAGGATGAAAACTGTATGACTCAAGCTAGGACTGCTCCCCCCTGCTCTGAGTCTCAGCTCCCCCATAACAACTCAGGAAGGAGGGGCCCCCACCAGTGCCACTGTGGGAGATGCTGAGCCCAGGGCCCACACAACAGGACATCAACGGGGACAGTTTCCTCTACTGGCCTAGAATGAGGGCCTTGTCTGAAGAGGGCCATGGTTAGCACCAAACTTGTCCCAGACCCACAGAGTGGCCTTGAGTTTTGGGCCCTAACCCCTAGTATTACCTCAGGCCATGGTGAGCCTCAGAGACCACAGATACAAACACTGCCATGTATCCAGGCACCCAGGGGCTGGGATCTTAAGTGGCTGCCCTTCCTCAGGAGAGACCTCGCCAGCATAGATATGGTAGTGGGAGGGGGCAGTCTGCTGGTGAGGCCAGCCACAGAGCTGGGTGAGCAGTGCCTATAGGTGCCCCACACCTGGGCCTATTACCCAAAGGCAAGGGGAATGACTAGAAGGTGGATCTAACAATGAAGACAGACGGAGGCTGGGCTCAGAAGCTTCCTGGGTAAGGTGGGCTGAACCCTAAATGATTGTGAGAGTTCTAGAAAGAGGGACAATAAAAGCAAAAGCAGCGCCGACCTGAGGCATCTGGTAGGGAGGAATATGGGTGAAGATGCAAAGTTAAGAGATCTTAGAAG